GGTTTCCTTCAGGGACGAACACTGCTTCCTACCGTACTGTACAAAACATGTACAAAACAAATGTACTTGCTCTATTAGGTACACTGAGTCATTAGCGTGCTTTAGCTGCGCTACAGGTACAGTTAAAGTACAGCTAGGTACAGCACAGGCCCAGACGCGGCCTTGACGCTAGTGTGCCAGGTAAGGCACTAGAGATTCAAAAAAATCCCCCCCGGAATGGCGACTTATGAAAGGGGAGGCGGAATATGTTAGGAATGACACAGTTATGTGTGAGAGAAGTGTGGATTCGACGAAGATGGACCTGGGGGAGCCTGGGTTTGCCTGACATGCCTGGCAAACCTGGGACTTTGAATCCCTGTCGTGAAGAAGAAAAAAAAATTTAGAGAAGCGAAGATGTGCAATTGGTTCCCGATTTGATCGTTGAAGCACGGCCGGTGACACTTCACTTGGGGTTTGCATAGTTATTTCTAGGCTGATATAGAGTTCTATGTATGTCATCTTTTTCCCTTTTCCTTTTTCATCTTAATTTTTATTTCTTTATTTATTTCCCTTTATTTCCTATATTAGTAACTATCACGAATACATACCTGCTTGTCTACTTACATGTAGATACAAGCTAAGTAAGGCTAGAAACAGTGCACACAAATGTAGGTACATAGGTTAGGTACATTTATGGCTAATTCGACGCATATGGTGAAACATAACCAAAGTTAGAACGATTCAATTTTCTTTCCCTAACCCACACGAACTCGCCACACGTCAGTCAATCAATATTTGCCAGAAGAGCTCAATTCAGACGGCTTGTGGATACTCATACCTCGTAAACGGTGAAGAAAGCAGCAGCTCTGTGGGACTTGTTTCCGTTCTGGACGGACTTGTCTTCTTGTCAGGCAGGTTTTGGTGGCGTGTGGGTTGAGCCAAGGAATGGAGCCCCCGTCGCTCTGCCTCCGTAGACTGTTTTACATTGATGCTTAGCAACCCGCTTAATCCGGTCTCGGTTATGATTGGATACCATGAGATTGATCAAATTCGGGAACTGGTATTTTGGAACTGGTATTTTCCAACACTTTTGTCATTTTCATCAACTTACGATAAGCGGGCTGTCAGAACAGAACAGAAAATAAGAACGAATATGTTAGTGATCTACAACAAAGACTTATACACTAGGTATAGACTATCGAAATGTCAGATGCTAGATCGACCTTCGGCTCGAACGGTTCGGTTTTATCATTCGTCCAATGGCGTGGCACAGGTCGCCGAAGTATACAGACAAGTAGAAAAGGGTTGGCTGATCACGGATTATCAGGATGTGACTACCTCATACGTCTACTGATTCCCTCCCATCCCATCCATTTACTATGTACCTCTATCTGTCAATTACCATTTGTTACCGCATGGTCCACCCCGTTGCACACGAGCGCAACGTCGATTTTCAGGTGAATTCAGGTGAAGCTACTCTAGACATGGGTCCTTGATGTTGGTTGGACGTTATGCCTTTTTGGTTCAGACAAGGATTACATCGGCCGCAAACTTATTCGGTTTTCTTGCTCAACTGCCCAGTAGATCGGACGAAGATTGCCTCTACTTTTACTTGACCCGAACAGGACACCGTCCCGTTGGAAACTCTTTCTCCTGCCTTAGCGTTACCACCTGCATATGTAAAGTACAGTATACCTGTATGTATAATACATTCCGTCTCATCAGCTTCCCTTAAATGTGCAAATTCCAGAAAGAGTAACCTCCCTCATTAATACTTTTCATTCACCGTAACCTTTAGTCGTGTCAAGTATACCACCTATCTACCTAAGTAGGTATGTATCGAGATGCATGCAAGTAAGCTGCCCTTAGCGGTAATAATATCCAGATCTGTTATGCCTCTAAAAATTTCCGTATGTTTCAGTCTAGTCTCTGACGCAGAGGAACAGTTAAGGGAATAGACTGCGGGATTGCGGCCTGGGGTGCCGTGTCCTCGGCACGTCAAATCCCTACGGTGGTGGCCCGTGAACATACACTATCAACTAACCTTTTTTTTATAATTTTTTTTTTATAATCACTTAAGTCGTTCTAATATAGGGGATCGCCATCATGGGTATCGATGCAGAAGAGCTCTCGTATTGACAGGCGTACAGAATATATGTACATAGCAGATCCCCGTACACGTATGAGGGGTGGAGGGGTTTGTCTGAAATCCCCTGCTGATCGGTTTGTGAATCGTGATTTATTAGGTATCCAGTGCGATGCAATAAGGCGGAAAGTCCCCTGTCTATGAGCAGTTCCCCGTTCGCGAGTTTTGTCAATCCGATCAGCAACATCATCGTCATCGTAAGCACAATCCAAACCTAGGCACCTATTATGGTTGTCATCTACATAGATAACACTATGTAACTAAATGATAACCATGATGGAAATAATGAGAAGAGTAAACTCTTACATAAACTGTGTGGAATTTATGAAAAGGAATGAATTGCCGATGGGCGCTGGGCGGTGCGCACAACATAACTTTCAGGCGTGTAAGCGCCTTAAAAAGTTGAAACGCAAAACCCTTGGCTCGTGTCCAATACAATGCTTATGAATTTCATATTATTCATCCTCCTTCGTTCCGTCGAAGCTACATTACGAAAGCCGTTGTCTCAGATTCTTGTCGATTCGAGAGGTGAGATCTTATCACTTAGATGTTATTGGCACCAGGTAGCAACCTACATATGTATGTGGTGGTATATCATGTATGATGTACAGTACACCCCCTTCATACATACTATATCATACACCACGCATTCCTTTCCTCATCAAGACGCGTTGGTAAAATTTTCGCGACATCGCTGAGCTTCACACGTGTGTGTGGTGATATTCGTGGGGGCGGTAGAGCATCCCGCATTTCTTCGAAATACATGGAAATGCCCATACCGTACGTTGTCAGTACTATACTATAATACTATATCAATCAGCATCGTATAGGTATTTTAAGCAACATAACGCCGTCGGCAGTCTACTCTATCGGGTATAGGTCCAATGCAATTTGCCGCGCGGCAATGGGTGACCTCAAAATAAATATTACATATATAGGTACATACTATACCTACCCTATATCTAGCATATATCTTCCATTTATATAAACCTGCCGCAGACCTCGTGTTGACATGTCAAGAAATATCCATTGCCATTATCACGAGAATAGGTGTCGTCATGAGCAACAAAGGAAGATAAATCCACGTCTCAAGTAGCACTACGCCTACGAGTTCTCTAACAGCGTTTTGAGGCGCAAATAGGCGCTACAAACCCCCTCAATCCACACAGCCACGACACTTACCACAGGATGATGCTCGTCGGTTAAATTAAATTAATGGACAGGTATGTATTGACGAATATCGGACGGGTCCACTTGCGCTCCTTTCCGCACTGCTCTTCTAGAAAGACAAGAGTAGCGGATCCCCCTCAGCTGAAGGAGCCGTGGACGAGGCGAGCATATACCCGTCATCTACTGTGCATAGGTATATACATGTACATAGTATACGTGAAATCTCCGAGGGGTGTAGGTAGGTGTGTGTGACGTTTTTATCCTCCTCCTCCTTAACGGTCCCCAAATCCGTACACAACAGTCCTCTGCGGCGAAAGTCTAAAGTCTAAAATGTTTTCTCCTCGCATCTCCAGGTCCCCAGTGCCGAAGGCTGAAACGGAACGTAAATCCTAATTGATGTCATGGCGGGAGAAGTGGGAGGGAGGGTTGATGTGAAACCACGGCAGCGCCACGAGGCTGCTGTGTAATATGTTTATTTATGCCGCAGCGGATAGATGGTGTTGATGTCGGGAAGGACCACGGATTACCTCTGACTCAAGCTTACTAAGTACGGCAAACGAGAGAAGACACTTCAATGCTATATGTCCGTTTACTATGTATGCTCTATGTATATCCAAGACTCGGATTTATCTGGCCTCAAATCCAACAACGCGTTTTGAACACCCGGGCGCACATGAATAGGAGCACACCCCCTTTTCCTACCAACCAGCGTTCCACAAACATCATCTCCGAGTATCACCTCGTCTTCAGCAATACTTACGCTATTGATAAAGAATACCAATAGCCAAATATATGTCTTAGCTATATCTCCACGTGGTACCTCGTACCTCAACGACCGCAGATGCAGACGCAGCTGCCCGCCGAGCCAATTCGTTCATGCTCGGCACCAGGGACCCGGGAAGCGTCGACGGATACGAGCCCGTGCGACGTGGGCAGAAAACAGAGATCCCTTCCCGTTCTAACGGACTAGTACCCGACGGTAAGTGTGGTATGTATGGAGGTATGTAGGGAACCTAGGTTAGACGGATAAATACATGACAGCTTGGATACCTACCAGGTTTCGAGCGCCTGCGGAGTTATACCTTGTCGCTCGAGAAGCAGTCACCCGAAATATACCTCTTTATAACGCGGGTAGTATATGAAAGTAAATGATGAGTTATATAACTATAGATGAATAAATAAATAAATACAAGTCGGTGCTCACCCGATGCCAGATCACGTAGCACTGTAACACCCCCATATCGTGGGAAATGCGAGTTCGTGAGCAGGAGTAATATATCTGTACGAGTTTTCCTCATGTATAACCAAGACAAGCAGATAGGTAGAGATAGGAAAGAAGGCAGTTACACATAATCTACCCCAGTCCAACTCTCTAAGTCAAAGCTCACCATACCGTAGAAGAAGGTAAGCCAAAACAGAGTTGTTACTGACGATGCTACAGTATAATGCTATGCAAATGCTACAGACCCCATTCAAAGTTAAGCCAATATCAATATCATAGAACCCCAACCCGTAGGGGGGAAGAAACTAAAAAAGGACCTATCGCTAATGAGGACCTATCCAATGCGCCCGTGATGCCTTTCTTATTATTCTTTTTCGGTTGCCCGTATGTCTTTCTTTCTCAGCAATCTAAACCGTTCTAATGAACCCCGGTTTATACTTAGTTATTCTATCATAAAACCCTAATTGCACAGTTGCGAAAAGGTTAAGTTCTAGGCCCCTCGAGCCCGATGCCCTTCCGGCGGCCCCTTATCACTGCTAGCAAAGCCTTTCCGACGGCATCCATATCGCCCAACATGGTAATATGCCCTCTGTCAGTACTAACTTGGCCGCCACGTACGAGCTCATACCCCTCAGGGAGCATGGCCTCGCGGGCAAGCACGACGCCGTCACCGCTGCGGAAAACTAAGTCGTCGTACGCATCCGCGCACGCAATTGCTTCACGTGACGTAACGCTCGCCGCCCACACAGTTGGTACTTCCTTGCCGTAGATAACTGCCAACGGTGGGTACGCGTTGGCTTGCGTGTGCTCCGGCCGGTGCTGGGTCTCAACCCGGAATCGCTTGATCTCGGCAAGCGTCCGGGTTAGGTACGCGAGGTTGCGGCTGCGTGTTCCGGCGTCGTGGTCAATGTTTTTCTGCTGTTGTTGATAAGCTGTGCTCGAATCTCCATGCAGCGTTCCCATTTGTGGTGCTAGGGTCCTGTCGTTAGATACCTCGACTTTCCGTACCGCATCGGCCACTAGATTGCGCGTTGGCGACCGGGATTCGCTAGCCGCACTATTTCCCCGGCTCCTTAATGGGGTCGGTAATCTCTCAGAGAGCTCTCTCAGGGAGCTGAGCGCGCCGGAACGAGACTTATAGGAGGGTAAAGACGGCTCTATACACGGACTCAGGCTGTATTTTATCCATTGCTGGGGGTCGTAGAAATCAACAGGATACTGTTCGCCGGTATACTTATTTATGAAGCAGAAGCCGTCTTCCGGTAGGAAAACAAAACTCGTCCTTAACGAAAAGTTAACTTGCGCCGTCAAGACCTTCTCGTTAAAGAGCACAGCGTCGCCATTGCGGATCGGTCCTAATATGTTTATACATCGTTGCGGGGTCCCTGCGTAAATTACTCCTGAGAATAGATCAGGTCGTTGATTTACGGCGTGGCGAGTAATAAGCCCTCCAAGGCTGTGTGCAATGACCAGTGCCCCTTTGCCTTCGGAGAGGCCAGAGCCCTGATTTGAGGGCAGCTGTTCGAGAAAGGCGATCAATTTGCGCGAGAGTAGATGGGGACTTAAACGCCAATCCCAGCCATAATCCCACACCCTCAGTTTTCCCGACCTAGCATTTTCGCATTCTCTCAATCTCTTGAATAAACGCTTCGAGATATCAACCGGTCCTATGTTTTTAAGCATACCGGAGGCGTATATCGTGTCTTCCATTCTTTCCTCGTCCTCGGGATCCAGACCAACTTCCAAATTAACTTTTCGAATGTTAAGCCCAACCTTTACGGGTACCCAGACCTGGCGGTTAGTTTTGGTAGACCTTAAGATAGACCCACGGTATCCGCCCATGATGACAATGTCGCCGGTTAATAACTCCAAAGCACGATCCAGATCCGACAGATTTGTATCGCTGTTGTTTGATGGGCCAATATCGAAGAATGTAGAGGTACGTGGGGTACCTGATAAAGACGAGTCTGACTGATTGAACCCCAGTGTTGAATTTCTCTTGAGCGGAGCTGGAATGATACTTGGAAACTGAGGTAGTTTGAACGTGGGTACATCCAAGCTATCCGTAATAGCTTTGAGCCTGCTGTTTTTCTGCTCTCTAATATCATTCCATCTATCGTCGTCACCGAAAGACGACATCCTAGATAGTGAATGGTAGAGTATGGATTCATCAGAAGTTGACCGCCGCATTGTCCGTGGCCGGGTTGGCGGTCGAGACGATGTAGAGCCTTCAGCATTACGGATGGGTAGAGCCATAAGCGATTGCCTGTTTTCCGGCGGGGCTATGTTTCTAGAGGATAGGGCAGGCGTTTCTGTGAATATGAGCCGCCCTGCCCTTGGTGCACTGTCATTGGAAGTAATATTCTTCTTTGCATCTAGCCCTACGCTCTTCGTTGAAGATGGTCCCGAAAAGAATGACGGCAGAGAAATCGATGGCATAGACATGGATGGCATAGACGGCATAGACGGCAGAGCCTCCCGTATCCTCTTTAGCGCATCTGCTCCCCCGGAAGAAGAACGGCGATGGCCATTATTCTGACCAAATACGGCAGATAGGGCTGGTCTCGAACTGGGCTCATTCTGCACAACCATCTGCTTTGGCCCCGACTGCCATGGCGAAGGAAATCTGTACGTGGGTGAATGACTCGAAGGAAGTTGACCTAGGGAAAGACCTCTGCTTTGGCGCGTCTGCGCCCTCGTACCGGTCGTTTGGTAAGCCGTCCTAGTTGAACCCATTGCTAATGGATGCAGACTATCCGGCTCTGAAGTGATCGGTCCCTCGATAACACTAAACAGACCTCTACCTGGCGCCTGCTCCAAGGCTGCCACCTTCTCTGCTGCAGGAGTCTTCGGTAGGGTGAGCCTTGTAGCTGCGGGACTTAAAGCCGGCTGTATGATAGATTGAGCATCGTCTTGGCCGATATACAACGACTCCTCATCTACTGCACCGTCAGACGACGGTGATACCTCTCCGTCGGAAATTATTAAGCTAGGTGGCTCTAGTATACCCTGGAGGAGCGAGGCCCTCGGCTGGCGTTCAGGTGTGCTCGCCATACTGCTTGATTAAATACCTAATATTTACCTAGGTATCATGGATGGTTGGGCTTCATGAGAAGTATAATTGAATTATCTTTATCCACCTGTCGGGAGTGCATTTGAGAAGCAGTTATAATCCACAGGACAAGTAATGTCGCATTTCCGGAAGTACCGGAGAGGTAATTATTTATTACTCCCAAACGAAAATGAATTATTTTAAGTAGTCGAGCTTGTGACTCGGGAGCCAGCAACGGAGAACAATCCACACTAGACGGGGGCAAAGCGGGCTGTCATATGTGATGTAATAGCGCTATTGGAAGGTTTAAATATACCTCGGAACTTTAGTACTTGATGTTTGTCGGGCTTTAGAGCCTTTGTTGGAATCGGAAAGGACAATACCTTAAAATTCATTTAAGGTCGGGCAGCACAAGCACAATGGGCTTGAATGGAGCGGCTTCCACGGTACATTTATATGTAGCGAACTAAAAAATGATTTTAAAATCTGGGGATCAAAAGTGACGGATCCAATGAACTTGGATATTAATACTTAAGTATCTGCACTATATATGTTAACTTTGCACTAACATCAATGGACCTTAGCGGAAAGCATCTACATACATCTTACCTGTCTTCTATTATACATTCTATTATACATAGTCTACCTAATGTAATAAGTAGGTTAGCCTAGTAGCACAACGTAGCCACGTACTACAGGCATGAACTCCTCTATGACACGTACCTATTTGCACGTAATTTCCCATCGTAGACATTGTTTCCGCCCAAATTGGCCCCTCTCCTCTATTTAATTTCAGCCCCCCGCTAACCGGGCGTAGTTGCACTGCAATCCATCGAAGGAATCGACGGTTAGCTGCGGGTTCAGCATGAGGTTTCAATAGGCATCTATTAATGAGAGATAATCAAGGTACGATATTATCTGATTGGGGGCGGTGAGTAAGCTTATGAAAGGCTGGCTTTGATGTTGTTGAGAGGGATGCGATGCAATGCAACTGTACATTTTGATATGCACAGATCTTATTATTATTGTGGAGAGACAGACGGTTGAGCCCCGGACACAGCCGCCGGGAACCGGATCGGCGCTCTTGGTTGAATAGTTATTGGCTGTTCGGTGCCGCTGACGAAATCCGAAATCCATCTTTTAAATTGTTAGTTATCACCTGTTTGACATAGGCGTGGGGCGCCCAAGTGCTTTTGTTTAGACTTAGTTACATACCTAGTTATGTCCACCCACCTTACACGCCTCTGGTAATGAATGCATCGACCACTCTTGTTCAGATATAAGTTTAGGCCATTCCCGACTAACGGCGTTTAAACCCATCTCCTGCCGTATGTAGTAAGGTATTTATAACTCGTTCCGCTAAGCTCGCGAATCTGAGAGAAGGCGATCGAGTATAAATCGGCAAGTTCTTAGACCAGTATACTCTTCTCTCTTCATTCGACATAGCTCGCAAATATTTTGACTTGACGCGTAACCTATCGATATCTTTCTGGTTGGGATACAATATTCTAGTAGTCTCGGGAAATATTGTTACTTAGATGTCTTGAGTGCCATTGATAAGTACCTTAATAATGCGATCCTAGAGCTCCGAGAAAATATAGCTTTTGAACATACGCCTACAAATAACAGCTATATCAACTTAACTCTTCATAAAATCTCCGTATATTATAGTTATTATGTGTGCTAATGTAGGTACTATAAATGATAGACTATCGCCATCGTTTCGGCTTGTTAACAACACTTCTCAGTAGGGCGAATCTCTTGTCTACATCGCACTAATCGAGTGTCCCGATAACTATAACTACCTCCAGGTTAAAATTTAGCACGCTAAATATCAAACCCGTCGTCTAATCTAAAGATGGATGATGCTCATGATAAATGAGTTAGTAAGTCTCGGTGTCGATGGTCTACACCAGTACTAGATAAAGCTTACAGTGCTTTAGTAATCCACACGAGAGTGGGTTTCTGTATAATTAAAGTCTGGTTCATGACAGCGACATATTCTACATGTAACCTCTAATACAAAGGTTTTCAAGTAGTGGGGAGCCGTAAAAAGGCGAGGTTCCTCTAAAGAGGTCCTTAGAGGAAGTTTGCTAATAGCCATGTTTGATAGAATCGAATATGCTGGTCTAGTTTCATCCTCGATACATCACAACTTATATATTATACGTGTATATAATCACCAACCCTTCCAACTATAAAGCCTACATCTGATATAAAAGCTCCTACTCGATAGTACCTCTCATATCAACGGCTTTTTATTTCCATGCCGTGTTCAGTTTAAGACGCCAATCAGGCCGGGCCTAAGGTAGACCAATGCTTAAAGCGGCGCGGTGGCTGTAGCAGGGTTTTCAGTCCCCGTCCCGCATCAATTTAGTACGTTGGCGTAATTCAGATCGCATGTATTCAGTATTCGTAATAGTCTCGCATGAAGATGAGTGATACCGCATAATCAGGACTTTTCAATTTCACATCTTGGGCGTGAACATGATACCCAGGCTCGAATCAATCTCCTTGACCTTCTGGACCGACTTCTCGTACCCGGGATGTGCCTCAAGCCTATCGATGTACGCGAACACCTTAGGGAACAACGCCTTAGGGCCACCGCTCTCCCACGTTCCAAAAGTCTCAAACTTATCCTTAGCTGCGATTAACGCGAAGCTGAGAAGAACATCCGCAGATGTGAGTTCCGGGCCACATAAGTAGTCGCCTCCCGAAGTCGTCAGCTGCTGTTCCAAGAATCCCAGCTGCGACTTCGCGTTCGGGAAGACGAGGCGGCTGAGGATCTGGTTGGCGACCATGGAGGTGATGGGACGGATGAAGAAGGGGATATTGGACCCCTTGAGCGCTCCCAAGACCATCGCCATCATAAGCATCGGCATCAGCGAACCCTCAACGTAATGGAGCAGATACTGCCACCGCAGCCATTGCTCAGTCTCGCCGCCGACTTTGCCGTCCTGGCCGTCCTTCCAGCGCTTAGGCATCATGGTGGTGCCTTGGCTAAAATGCTCGCTTAGGTATTGAGTGATGAACCCGCTCTCAGCTAGAACGGTTGGCTCTTCCGAGCCTGCGGGTGTGATGGAGATCACAGGCGACTTTCCTAGCGGATGAATTTTCTTTAACTCGGGAGGGGCGAACATGTTTACTCGATGAAATGTTTCAAGCTCATAAGGCACCTTGAGCTCCTCAAGAAGCCAAAGGATGTTTTGAGCGCGAGATTGCTCTAGCCTGTTTAACTGTAAGAGACAGCTCACGATGCGATGGGAATAATGAAGGAACTTACCAGTAAAGCTTAATCTTGGGCTGTTCTTCAGTGGCCATGGTGGGCAAAACGTAGATGATTGTAAGTTATTCGAATATCAAAAATGATTTATATAATGATAAAACAGAGAAGTTGCTCTGGGTCTTATTTGTATGTTTGGGATAGGAAAGATGGGGACACTGTCTGGGTCTTGTTAGATTTTATACCTACACTAGACTGAGTTCTATGTAAGTCGAGCCCGGATTCAAATACCAAGCAAGACTAGAATTTAGTTTTAATTAGCAGCTGTAAAATCCTAGCTTTATTACTCATCATACGACGAAAGAGGATCTCTTTCTATCTTCGAGAATTTGCAGAACCATGGCTAAAAGTTGCCGAGGTATAATTATTTTGCACTAAGAGCATTGCGGGCTATGTACATCATAGACTATCTAAGTCCTTAGTTAGGTAATTACCTGAAGTAAGCAGTGTGAGTAACACTACGATTAGAATTAATAGGTATTATAGTTACACAAGGCCATCATGGGAAGGCCTAACCCTCAGTACTTAGTCGTTATCAAGAATAAACTGAATATCAGGCATAACATGTGAATATGGAAGATTGGTTTGTGTAAACCTATTTCTTCATGGGTACGGGTTCGTAACACAGCTACGTCAGTTGTATGGGGCGGGTCTTGGTAACTTTTTTGATTACCTAATTCCATGATGGAAGCTTAAGCTTTAATACGCCACAATAAGGCTGAAAATCAAAGGCACCCCACGTTACAAGCCTCAAACCATCCGAGACGTCTAGAGCGAATTGATGCTACTATCAATCAATCTTGAGATAGACCTCTCGAAGACAACCACCTAAACACCCATCTATCTAGTGCACGGCAACTGCCTACCTCTGTCAAGATGGCTGGCCTAGAGCACTACCGTACGTACATATAACTTCGAGAGCTCAATTGAATTTCCGATCGCGGCAATAAACAAAGAAGCTAACATTTATGTCAGGCATGTCCATGGACCCGGCTATCCAGAAGCTAGGGAGTACGTCCACTCGTTCCTCGTCCCTCCTCCTAAGGCCTCGCCGTGAATCATGGCACAAATAGAGGAATCGCGCAAGGCTGCGCTGCCAAGGAGGTAAACAAACCGTAGCTGATATGATCCGCAGACATGACCACGAACCGCCACAAGTTCTTCCGATGGACTCCGCGAACCGCCCGCATCACCTTCATGTACGCCATCGTCGTGCCGGCCATCTTCACCGTTGTCGCATACACCACCGACGTGAGTATTCGACCTACCTAGCTGGAATTGTTGTGGAAATATATACCTATGTAGATACGGCGATTGCTGACATAGCTCCGATGTGTAGGGAAAGTACGAATTGCGAGCGAAGAGGAAGGGTGACTTGATTAAGGAGTTCTAAGAGAAGAATTTGCGTGGGAAAGGCTTGGATGACTGTATATAAGGCTAGGCGAAACTACCGTAATTGAACGAGGACTTTGACCAATGAACACTTCTCAGTGCCTCTACTTTTCAGGTGTATGATGTTAAAAGTGATCTTGAAAATGAATATAAAGAGGGTTCTAGTGTCTAACGGTATGGTATATTCTTCAATTGAAGTTCTGGGTTGTGACAGATATGATATGTGAACGACAACTCCTGATATGGCTGCTACTCGTTCTCTTCTACATATTTCATTCAGGCTTCTCTCGAAAATATATTCTAACCATTAATAAGAGCGCACCTTCTCTTCTATTGGATTATGATGGTATTGAAAATAATAGTTTCCATATATAAGGTAATTAATCCCTTCGACTGGTATAGCTAAACGACAAACGGTTAGTTTCTCAATGGCGAATATCACTTAAATAAGAGATAACTTCAAAACTAAAACCAGTCAATTGATACTAACATATACTATTAGTTACATAAAACAGCAAACGCAAACCAAACTTTTTAAATATGCTCCCTTAATTGCCCGTCCCCCCCATCTATAACTCCGAAAATGCATACCATAAAAACCGGAAAGCGGAAACAAGTTGTAAGACAATTTTGAAGGGTATCTATACACAATCACTTGCTTGCTGAACACTCGGGAGCATTCGGGTATCAATTTGCGTCCGTCGTGAGAGCCAAGACAGGATGACCTGCTTGCATTGAAATCAGTAAATACACGAGTGAGACATTGCGGAGTCGGAACAACTAACTTTGTCATAAGTCCGCATAGGACGATATCTCTACCATATTTTGTCTGTTACCGCCAAATATGCTGTTCATCTTATCTTGTCCGCTTTCCAAAAAATACTGTTGTCTCCACCAGGACCGTGTCCTATGCCCGTCTTGTCCCTCTGCCACGTCCTACAGGGGGCGACTCAGGTAAGCGTTCTCCCCTCCTCCATTCACCCATCGGTATGCTACCACGACTTCCAAACCCATCGTATCCCCTCCCGCTATTCCTTAGTCTACCAGAGCGGTCGGTCCCGTTCTCCTGTTCTCTTCTGCCGAAGGAGCTACTGGGGACATGACCTATAGAAGCCCTGGGCTCGCTGGCACCGGTACTGCGTCCGACCCTTGCGCTAGAAACAGGGGCAACGGAACCGTCCGGTAGGGGAGGGAGGATGGCGCACGATATAAAATCACCGACGACAAACCTGGCCTCCTTTAGAGTCTTATCTCCTTCGGAGTCGAGCGTCTTCTCAGCCTCAGGGTCGTCAGGGTCCAATCCTCGCCCCCCATTACCAACTATCACGCTACCTAAATCTTTAACAGTGTACTTGGACGACGTTGGACCCGAGGTGTTTCGCGTGTCTGGAAAGATGAGGCGGAATGCGAAACGGGTGCCGATGGCCGGGTCAGGGACGAGAGATGGCTTCAAGGCAGCGATAATATAAGTAAGCTCCGTTAAGGTGCAGTCGGGCCAGGTATATATTGGCATATGCGGTGGGAGCTGCGACGTATTGAACTCATCGGGTCTAAGATGTGTATAAGCACTCGGGTGGTCCCCCCTTATTCTTGGAGCGTCGCAGGGAACCCCATGAAGGTTTACTCACCTGTGAAATGCGCCGGTTCGATAGAAGAGCCGTAGCATAAACGGCGGTGTTGCGTGACGATCCATGTTGAGATATCACTTCCCCAAGTGGTACCTTCTCAGGAACACTATGTTCAATCTTAAATCATGTTGTTGCGACTAGTAAAGTCGACTTATATAGGTACACTTCCTAGGAACGGAGTAGATGAAAGTTAGGAGAAACAAGACAGCACGGATAGATGGTACGTTAGGAATGTTATAAATGGAAGCTCGGAAATTTTAAACTTGGGGAGTGACGAGGCTACGAATGATATGCTTCAACTTTTTTTTTTTTGAAGCAAGCAAACGCAGGAGCTCGAAAGCTTCGCTGATAAGATTCCAGCTGTCCAGGGACTCGGGGGTTAATATGTGCTAATATTGATGGTGGGAGATGCTAGAAATGTTAAATACTACCTCCTAAACTTTAAGAAGCCCCACCTACCCCGGGCAGTTTAGCGGCTCTTTATGATGTAACTTGGATAGACCGTAGCATACAATATAGAGCTGTTTAAGCGTAGCGTGCAGGTGGTCTGTTGCTAGATAGTCGGTATGATCGGTATTTTCCCACTAAAAACTTGCCGACCTCCTTAGTGGGTTGACTCCTATTGGACACTTTAAACAATAATTCAACCATGCGACTTTCTTCCCCATACGCCGCCCTGCCATCTCCATCCTTCCAACATACACACCACATCCGCACGGCTTTCCTTGGGACCACGTAGCTGAGACCTCCACTCACTTTTAAAGCAGTCATCTTCTACCAGCCACCCGGTGGGCTCGCAAATCTTGCCAGAGCACCCGTCCTCCAATATGGATTTCGCATCGCTCATGTCCAAAGAGCTCGCCAAGGCGACAGGAGCAACAACAACACCTACATCTACTGGCGACTCCTCCTCCTCTAATAACAAAAAGTACATACGCCGCTCCGAAGCCGAAGCTCAGCGCGAAGCCGCGTACCGGGCAGAGCAAAAAGCCCTCGAGGAAAAGCGCCAGGCAAAAGCGGCCGAAAAACGCAAGCGCGAAGAGGACGCAGCCGAGGAGGCCAAGGCCCGCGAAGAAAAGCGCCGGAAGCTAGAAGAAGAGACGCGGCGCCGGCGAGAAGAGCAAGCAGCCGAAGAAGAGCGCCGCCGACGGAAACGCCTCGGGCTCCCCGAACTATCCAAGGAAGATGGCAGTAGCGGTAGCCGCGAAGGCAGCGCAGGCGCCGAGGGCGACGACGACATCCCGGAGGAGGCGCTAGTCTCGAAGCTGCGCGAACTAGGACAGCCCGCCACGTTATTCGGCGAGACGCATCGCGCGAAATTAAAACGGTACCGAAGACTCACGACCGTCGTGACGGCCGGGCCTATACCTACAACGCTGCAACTGCTAGAGGAGAAGGACATGAAGGTAGAAAGTTCGATACCGCAGGACAAGGCAGGACGACAGTATCTCTTCCGACAGCTAGCGTCGTACTTCACGATGGTGCTGCGGGAGTGGGAGGTGGCATTAGCGCGGGAAGAGAACCGTGATACATTTGCCGGGAAGGCAGCTATCAACGCTATGGTATCGAGTCGTGACAACATGGTACCGCTATTCCGTAAATTTGAAAAGGGCGAGCTAGAGGACGACATCCTAAAACCTGTCGTGGAAATCGTTCAGGCCGCCCAGGAGCGCCGCTACGTCGACGCCAACGACGGGTATCTACGCCTGAGTATCGGTAAGGCGGCGTGGCCTATCGGTGTTACCATGGTGGGTATCCACGAGCGAAGCGCGCGGGAGAAATTACACGATGGTGAGCGGGGACATATCATGAGTGACGAGGTGACTAGGAAATATTTACAGAGCATTAAACGATGCCTAACGTTTGCACAGGTACGCTGGCCTCCGGAAGATATCAGGCAGTTGATGGGATGATATGGTAATAGCAATCAATTAATTCATTCCTGGACTACCTTGTCATAGGGTATTTGCGAATCTCATGCTCTTGGACGACGTAATATGCCATGCAGACATAACCCTAAAACCTCCCTGCAAAAAAAAAAAACGAAACTACATGCAATACCCGTGACGCCTGTATCCTAGCAACTCCTCATTATGCGCTGTATGCCTTCGTGTTTGGCTGCCTCTCAGCTGTGATGACAAGTGTTCTTGTGAAAACTCGGTTCATCTCCAACATATTTTTCTTCTAAACCCTGACTACTTCTCGCCAGAATGTTGGAATTCATTGCCTATAATAGACATGATTCATCCTATACATTAGAAGAATTACCGTCTTATTCTCAAAGCGATACTACTTAAGACATTGCGTCGTTGGAAGCCGGCTGTCTTCTGGCTTCGTCAGTCCAAATGTCGCCTACGCCGGGGAGATTGCCAGTTCCTACACCAGCAACCTTTCTGGTGCCTTTGACCTCTAGGTCGGCCGCTACGATGTTCATCCGGCGAATTCTCTCTAGGACTTCCTTTTCATAATTCTTGGCGGAATCCAGAGCTTTCTTCTGCATGACTGCTCTGGAGTTGGTGGAGACAGCAACAAGAAGCTAAACAAAGATCTTAGTAACGCGTTAGTTTTAATAGATACATCTCAACTTACCTTATCAATGGTGTTAATGCGAGCATTTAGAGCACCTGCTCTGATCATATCAATGAGCTCTGATTCAATAGACTCTCCGGGTTTGGCAAAGGCTGCATTTAGACTTTCCAAGGTAACACATGAGAATGGTACGAAGTACTGGACAATGCACTTGCTGCGAATTTGCGAGAAAATTGCAGGAACATGTGCCTGGAGATAGATGTCGAGAAGGTAATCGTTTCGGTATGACTCGAGTATTCCCAAGCAAGCCGAGTATCGTCCGTTGACGAACAAACTAACAGCTTTGCGGATGTGTGGTTCTAGCTCGAGATAGTTTCTAAAGCTAGAGTTATCCAGAACTCGAGTCTGTAGCTCTAATCGGTCCATTGAGGCGAGTGCAAGAAGCCCTCCATATGTGGCGACGTCATTTAGGCTAGCGACGTCGTTATGTGCCTGACAGCTGATCGGATCCCCAACTTCGAGAAAGCTCTTAGCAGCATCGTAATATCGACCTTCTCCAAGTTGAGCAAGACCATAAATCATCTTCTGATAAGGTTGCTCGGAATTCTGCTCGTTGCTTCCCGGGCTCATAGCCAAGACCTTGTTAGCGTTGGCTAGAACTGCAGCCCAGTCTCGCTTCTGTAGCATAATGCTAATAATATGCTTGCCTACGTCTTGGATATGAGATTGTGTACTAGCATCGGGTCGCATCTTGATATAGGTTTCGGAGGCTCCGTTAAGATCTCCAATAGACTCAAGGTGTTCGCCGAGATCACGGTGGCCAATCTAAATATGTCAGTGTTACTCTCGATGATTAGATGCTTTCTTGGGTTGGAAGTGGATTTATACCCTAATACTCTCTTTGACCAAATTGTTTTTATACCCCTTAAGCTCAGTTTCAAGTCGGTGAGTTTCTGCCTTATTGGCTTTCGCTGTTGCCGTGACCCAGGCATCATCCCACTTAGCCTCAGGTTCGTCGGGCGCAGCAATGTGGATATATTCGAAAGCATCGCGGTATCGCTGGACGTCTTTTCCACGCTTGGCTTCGGCCACAGCAGCTTTGAGGGCATCGACGCATAGAGGTACGGAGCATTGGCCAATTAACAATAATCGGTCGAAACGAGTACGGCCTAGTAGAGTGAGGTGAGTATCTATTAGTAAACGAGGTAAAGCACGCGGGTAGCATATGCTAGGTTACCTAGAGTCACTTACCTTTGTAATTAGAAATGTATAGATCAAGGTCCAGCTTCGGAGCATCTAGAATACGTTAGTTTCCCAACAACTTGCAGAAGAACTTGTTTGTTTTGAAAGTTATTTCGTACCTTTGACAATAACAACGCCCTGGTTGTCCATGGCGGTAAAAAAGGTAAGGATGTGCTGGTCGGCTGCCATGATGCCGGCGCTCAAGAAAGTAAGGCCTATAGTCAAGTAGTTGTACCTTAATTTGTTGGCTACCTATGCTGTGAAAAAGATGACTGGGTGCCTGAGAAGTAGAATTATTATAGACTGAGGATGTTGAATGCTTAGTATTGTTTTGGGTTATTATGGTGTGTGTTGGAAATGTGTATTAGAAAAAAAAAGAGGTATCAAGGTTGCGAACGTCGAAGCTGCCTCTACGTTGTTTTTGGCGGGGTAGCTACACCTTAGGTACGTTGAACCTGACAAGCAGAATCGCCTCAAAAAAGAAGCCCCGTTCTAATTATGTAACATGAGTACCTCATATCATTAACATCAATATCTTCACCATTTCATTATAGAAATTGACGAAATATCTTTTTAATTCAATTTTACTAGATTGTTTTCAACACATGGTTTTTTTGCTATTTTCTTTTTTATTGTTTTTGTTAAAGAAGTAATTTTGAAAAAAGGACATGTCATTTGCTTTAATAAGAATGGGACATATTTTTTAAACGTTGTTCTAACAAGGCCTTATCGCCCTATGCATGTGGCACATTCCATTGGACTGTTATTCAGGTACACAAGTACGTATCCAGCTAGCATGGGGACGTAAGGCTTAAGTGGAGTTTTGCAACACTAGCAGGAGCGCGTGCTGTTGATTTTGGTAAGCAGCTAGCCAGTCTGTCTCGAAAAGTAATGGCGCAGTCTTGGCATTTTCTTCTAAAAACAACACTATATAATATATGTAAAGAAAAGCACAAAAGAAGATAACAAAAAATAGAAAAAAATACCTATTGATTTTTTGGCTTTTATTATTATTATAGGTTTTTTTTATAATTTTATTGCTGTAGAAATGGTGGAATTATAAGTATATTAATATAGCATATTAAAACGTTATTAAAAATATATATTTAAAGCTATATTTTTAGCGCATTATTATCTTAATAAAAAAACTAAAATGATAAAAAGGTATAATAGCCTCTTGCAAATAAAACGATATATATTATAATTTTATTACTATTTATTTTGCTTATATAACTGGTGATTCTTTAAGAAGGGTTAAATGCCAAAACCGCGCCATTACTTTTCGAGACAGGCTGCTAGCCAGCCTTCAGCTTGCCGAAGCCTCATCCATCCACATTCATATAATAATCTACCTAACATAACAAAGCTACCAAGCCGTTAATGTATAGTTATCACACACTTTATAAATTATATATTTTGCTCTTAGGCTCTCTGAAAAGTTTCTTAAAATTGAGATTAGTATTATACTTCAATACTTACAGAAATATATTAGATTTGCTTATATTAATAGTATTGCCTCGGACATAGGACGGCTTTCCGGCAAGTTCGAATACTTCCATCTCCCGTCAGCCCGCCCATATCTTGGATCCACAGGCCAAGCAACGAGGCTAAGGTGGATACAGACCACGAGACGAATGTTCAATTATCTGAGACCTATTTTTTTTCAATATGTCTTACCTTAGGTACTTAACAAACTTATTGGTTAACTCAAACAGTACTACATACCCCGTAGACACGTCAAATATAGGTACTTGCATACCTCCTTTTAATATGAGTTGTAAGAACGCGTCTCTGAAACTTACTATACTCTAAAACTTCACCAATATAACTACCTATACTTAAATAGGCGAAATTCTATGTGAGAAGAGGTATTTTGGGCCAATTGAATGATATGAGTTGATCCAAATATAATTGTATCATACTAATGATGGCTATTGTATCTAGGTATATTATTTTAAATACATGGAAGAATGGGTATACGCCGGCCTTGGTGCTCGTATCTATTCTCTACCGTGGTCTAAATGAGAATCATATCGCGAATATTGCCAAGATTGAAGTCCACTTTTGCACGGAGACGCGAGCTCCAATCATGGCGTATTCCGGTCCAAAGAGCTTTTTCGGTGGAGAGAGCCAAGACGGCGGTGTGCCGGTTTTCCGAGATCTAAGAGGTATCTATCTCTAATCCATATCAGCTCCTAATAACAATTGGGACGAAGGTAGGTATTGATCTGTCCTTGTCAATAATGTGAAACGCAAAAAAAATAATGTCAAAGCAAAGTATGCTTGGTTGGAGAATAGAGCAATTTACTGGCTTCATTTACATAATATCAATGATAGATCTAGTCAGTTACGGCTTGCATGCTGGCTTATCTCTACTAGATCAACGCCGCTCCGCGAATATGCATGCAAGAAAATTGCTTTGAAGGTTAGAGGCATGCCAAGACCACTGCTACGGGCTCTCCGCGTACGTATGTATGGAATATACATGGTGATCAGACCTGCAACGGTCTGCAATGATACCTTGTGTTCCTGACCGGTAAACTTGATTATGGTGTAGTCGATGTGAGAGAAGCTGCCATTGTGAGAGTCTATAGCCGCTGTTTATGTATTTGTATTAGCAATACGCTAAATCCCTCCGAATACTCGGGCTGAGCATCGTCATGGCAAGTAATTTTAGAGTCATCGTATTTATCAAAGCATAAAGAGCGAAGAGGATAGGTTACTTCGAAGAAAAGGAATGGAGATGGCATTGGTACATATACCTAGGTATGGAGATGATCTATGCATTTATAGAACTTGAAGTTATGGTCTGGTAATCCAGCCTTGTAAGTAAAACTAGGTATGTACATACTTGGCGATCAAAGCTTGGTGGAAGTCAGCCATAAAACCACCTACATGTTCTAGACTCGAAGCCAAGAGCGACTCATTAAACATACGTAATTTGAAAAAATTCGGGTTGGAGAGATCTATGTAGTTATTGATGAACCGAATAACCCGATCTCTTAGTGGAAACCCCGACTCTATTAACTTTGTCCAAATGGACCTACTGAATCTAGGAGGCCTCAGTAGTTGACATCGAATTAAGATATATTGATGTTGCCTGTCATTAAACCTAGAGGCCTCCTGCTGGTGCTCTCCAACCAAAAAGTTGCTATCCTAGGTACAAAGCTCCCTTACGTGCGTCCTTGTGTTGGAAATAACATTCGAACATGTTTGTAATATTAGTCCTATCCGTGATTGCTTATGGTGTCGATAATATATTAAGTGTTACTTACACGTTAACACCGTCATGTAATTGATATAAGCTTTTCTATACTAATATAACTAGATTATAGATTCCTGAGCACTCTTTTGTATGGAAATTCCCGGGTTGTTAGATTAAGTAATAGGTAATCAAGGGGAAATATATATCCCAGTAACTTATTTTAATATATTCTTTCGTGAAGATGTCTCTGATCAGTGCTAGATATGTGTATCTCTATATATACATATACTGCTTACATATATGCATCTGAATATGCATAAGTCACTAGTGTAAATCGGAGTAGTCTGTTCAAATCTGTGTGACCCCAGCCTGTTACCATACCAGGTTTTGGTGGATCGAATAAACCGTTATTTCACCGTTATTTTACCATTTGCATATTTAAACGTTTGAAAATCAAGACTTAAGTGAACGACGAATAAGATTTTATATCTATTGAAGTTATTTTCAACGTTTGGAAGTGATTGGAATGTTTATGTGTATAGCTATTTATATTTCCAAACGTTTCACTTACTTTCAAACGTTATAGCGTTTATAGAAAGAGCTACAAAATCCACGGGAAGGCCACGGGAAGGCCACGGGAGCGACGGGAAGGTAAATTAGGTAGGTACGTATATTATACAAATACAGGGGCAGGTGGGTAGGCAGGTGGGTAGTCAGTCAGTCAGTCAGTCAATAGATTACGAATACAATTATTAGTTGAAAGATTGATTATATAAGACTATTTAAGGGACTATCTAAAGGACTATATAAGAGATTATCTGAGACTGGCTAGGAGACTGGTTATATATCTAATTAGCTAAGATATTAGAAGGTCAGGGGACTGACTGACTGACTGACTGACTGACTGACTGACTGACTGACTGACTGACTGACTGGTTGGTCAAATGGTTGAGGACTTAGAAGAAAAAAGGATGAATGGGAAGGAAAGGGAGGGCCCTTTATATAGACCTGTATACCTGTATACCTGTATTGCCTCAGATTTGCCTGTACAACCTTGATTTTAAATTAGACCTTGTCTTGTATGGCCTTGACAAGGGTGTAAGGCCGTGATAAAGGCCTTTAGACCGACGGGAACGACGGGAGTACGTATAAATGCTTAAATATTTGAAGCTATATTGAATATTCGAAAGGTTAAATATTTAAAAACTTGAATGTTTAAAAATTTTTAAACGTTTAGATATTATTTGATATTAAAATAGTGGTAAACGCTAAGAATGGCTAACGTTTTTGATCTTGAATATTTAAATGAAATAAACAGTATAAATATGGGTCAAAAAAGTAAACGGTTATTGAACTGTTTATTCGATCCACCAAAACCTGGTATGGTACTTCGTCATGACTTGTAAGGAGGTACCATCCGGCTCATTTATCAAGTAGATGTACAATACAGGGATTACCCAACTTCTAAGCAGCTTCGCCCCGCCTTGCAAAAAGCAGTACTTATCCAACTATATGATCCCAGTTTATCTAGCTAAGCGCCTTTCTATTTGCATAGTCTCCCCACTCGAGCCACCATGTCTTTTTTTTCTTAAGCGTTCCATCGTCCCCCCTTGAAATGCTTCTAAGAGACGAGACGAATTGGCTTTAGATTCTCGTTCATCGTACCTATTATTTACTCTTCGCAAGGTGCCATAACTAGGAGAAGTATATCCTACCTAGTTATCCATCCGATATTTCATTAGTTTTTAAAAGTTACTAGCCTCAAACAGTATCGGCCCTATCAATCAGTCAATCAATCAATCAATCAATCAATCAATTCTATCCTTGGATCGGGTTATTCCGACCGACCGCTTTTTCTTTTCTTTTCAATCCCGTTTTGATCATTGTGTTTGTTCGTCGTTCATACTCGCTACAGGTTACTACAGGACGTCAGATAATAAGCACATACCTAATTACTTCATTACTCTCTCCCGGTAGGTACCTGATCTTCTTAGTATACCCTCCTTTTTACCCGTAGCCCTACATACTTGTGTATATGTATCTCTCTTACTGCCAAGGGAAGAAGAGAAGAAAAAAAAAAGACGTCGTTCATATACAATTCCTACACTACCTAAAGTATGTACGTAATAGCAAAGCCAAGGTAGCCTACTGCATCTCTAATGTATAGGAGGAGGTAGGTAGAGGTTTTGTCCTACCTACCTCTAATCTTAGGCGCCCTATGCTATGGATGTCATGGATGTCATGGATGCTATGGATGCTATGACCTACGCTACTGCATCAGCGCCTTCGGTCCCATCTCACCCTACCCTACTTTTCTCTTACTCACTTACTTCACTCAACCGTCTATCCTAGATATTCGTACTCAGATAAGAACATGTCTTTACTTATTCTTCTTCTTCTATCTTATTAATTTATTTTTCACGTTTCTGGTTAATGCCGAGGCTATATATCTAATCCTCCAGCCTATTCACGGAACTTCAATTGGGCCAACCCCCTCCTACATTACTGACTTCTTTTCATATAGGCAAAGCAACTTCTGCCCTGTATTGTGGTACCTGTTCGATATAATCAGTTTGCTCAGGAGCAAGCGTTAAAGATCCGAAAATGCGCTGGAATACATCTGCTATCTCATAAATATATGAATTAAAGCGATAGAAGACGGCACCAGGCTATATTCTTGACCTATTCTAGGAGGGTGCCATTCCCGGCACCCACAATCAACTGGACATGACACCTCTTTCTCGCTCTTCACGCACTCCTGCTGATCGCATAGGATCCGTTAAGTCCGAAACTGTAGACGGCCAGATATCTGACGAAGAAGAATCTTCCTTTCAAGCCTTGGAAACGGGCTCTCCAGCTGGGGACACTCCAGCCTCTGCTCCTCAAGGTAGCCATGTCGAAAGTTCTAGCGAAACACCGTCTGTTCCTCTCCAGAAGCGCCGGAGGGTGACGCGCGCATGCGAGTATGCAGTTTTAAACTCCATTTTTCTGCTATGATCCCTCTTTGGTTGCCTTTGAAAACATGTCTCTTATGTGAGCGTGTCTAGTGTCACCCGGAGCTTCCTAGTCAGATATCTTCACCTTCGACGCTTAAGCAACATCTCAAGGTCTAAATACTAACTTAGTTTCTTCTAGTGAATGCCGTAGGAAGAAGATAAAGTGCGATGGCAAGCAGCCATGCACCCATTGTCAGGTGTATAGCTACGGTAACTTTTACTCGCATTCTTTAGCTATTTCTTTGCCGGCTGATGTTTTATTGATAGACTGTACGTACGATAAGCCTTCCAACAGGCGCAGGAATCCGGCTCCGCAGTATATAGAGGCTCTAGAAAATAAGCTATCGAGAGCAGAGAACTTGCTGCGCAGATTTATGCCAGATGTCGACCTCAACGATCCAAGCCTGGATCCTGCAGTTCAGCAGGAGTTTCGCATCCGGGAGCAAGCTAGAACACGGTCCTCGGCAACTAAGGGAAAACAGCCAGGTTCCTCGTCTTCTGTAGACGCCCAGTTACATTCTATGATCGAAACCGCTGGCCAACTCGACCTCGACGACAGGGGCAACTATGATTTCCACGGGACCTCGTCCGGTTCAGTCTTCTTCAAGAGGATGAAGGAGCATTTTCGTGGTCTTCTAGGAAGAGATTATCAGGTGCCGTTTCTTCCTCGGCCGCCTCGACCTGTTGGTGTCCTCACTCTAGACCCCCCAAGACCCCCGTCAAGTTCACGAGCGCCGCCAAGTCGTATTATACCCCCTTACGATTTACCCCCAAAGGAGAGGGCCCTTGCGCTATGTTCCGAGTCACTTAATAACGCGACATGTCTTCTGCGCATCGTCCATGTCCCTTCCTTTTACAAGATGCTGGATGACCTATACGAAAAACCAGTAGGCGCAGCTGGGACAGAGAACAAAAGGAGTCTAGCGCTAGCATACTCTGTAATGGCCCTGGGCTGCATGTATAACATACCTGAAAATGACAATTCGGAAACGCCGCCGTATAAGATCGCGATGGACGAAGCGTAATACTATGCCCCCCCTTCCCCCCTTTTTGGGCTTCTCTGATCTCGACTAACTTATGCATTTTTAGAATTAAATATTATAGCAGTGCAAGAGGCATTCTGCAAGATATAACGGAGTGCCGAGACCTCCCCTCGCTTCAAGCTCTACTTTTTATGATACTGTTCATCCAGTCGATATCGAATTTAAGTACTTGCTATGGGTTTGTGGGGATTGCCTTACGATCTGCGTTGAGGATGGGTTTACATCGACACCTACCTCATATCAAACTAAATCCGATAGAGGCCGAAACGAGACGAAGGGTTTTCTATATATGTAGGCAGATGGATACGTATGTGTCTGCATTACTGGGGTTTCCCCTACTTTTAAATGATGAGGACATTGACCAGCCTTTGCCAACCCCTGTGGACGACGAATACATCACGAAGGACAAGATACTCATCCCGCCTCCAGGGACCCCGTCTTTCCTCGAGGCCTTTAATGCGCACGTACGACTGATGGATATTCTGGGTAAGGTTGTTAAAAACGTTTACCCGTTGAAAGGTATGGAACAGAGTGAGGCTGAAGGTGTTGGGGAGCCATACGCGTCATATACGATCAGCTATGGGAAAATAAAAGAAATCGAAAAAGAGCTTCAAAAATGGAACGAGGACTTGCCGGATGCTTGGCGGCCGAACCCTATTGGTGCTGTTGAAGTTGTTCGGTAAGTTATTCCTAGAGTAGACGTTGAACTCGAGCGCTTACTAAGTGGTCTTATAGGGTGCGTAACTTACTGAGGTTTACTTACGCTCATATCCAGATGGTACTATATAGACCATTCCTCCATTACGTTTCTCCACGTATCACGGCTGGCAAGGATGTAAATGAACGTGCCTACGCTTGCGGAGCCGCTGGTGTTAGTGTCGCGCGAAACATCGTACACATCGGGTTAGAGATGCGAAAACAGGTTTCTCTTGTAGGACCGTATTGGTTCACTCTTTTCACCGAATTCTTCGCTATTATAACGCTGGTCTTCTTCGTTTTAGAGAATCAAGACAAACCCGGGTCTATGGAGATTTTTGCAGATGCTATAGCCGGGAAAGAGATTATTGAAGAGCTTTCAAGAAAGAGCTTGGTTGCGGACCGCATATCCCAATCTCTAGCTGTAAGTTGGGACTATATGACAAACCTACCGATATATGGCTAATCCTAGCAAGATACTCTTTGATCAATTACCAAAGAGCCTTAAGCAGGCAAGCACTACGACATCTCTAAAACGTCCCGCATCAGGAGTACATGATGATATGACGATGCCACTTCCAGTACACTCAAACGATTCAATACAGCGTCTCCCCGAGAGACCCAATCAGCCTCGGGGGAAATCGTCGAAAAAGGCTGGAAAGACTCCAGTCGGGCTCGTCCCGCAAGTCATCCCCGTTGATAGTTCTTCCCTACCACAGCCAGAATATGGCGGCTCATTTACCTCCAGTTTTCAATTCTCGCCGTTAGATTTACCGATACCATCCCCCGATTCCGCAACGGCCGCGGCCCTACACGAGCCTAGCCCTCTAGATTTGCAACATCAAGCATTCAGTGCGGGCAATCCGGTCCATCAATTAGATGCAGTGATGTTTCCCTCGGACGACCCCTTAGAATATCCCAACCAGCCCCAACTTGATTTCGGCACTCATCAGTCAGGCGTACCGGGCGGTAGTCAAGGAGACCTGTCACACCACGGTCCTGCTCCGTACTATATACCTAATTTCTATGATAGTATCGAAGGACAACTTATGGGACCGCTACCGCCATACTTAATGCAGTCGCAAGCTCAACCAGGCTTCAACTTCCCAGCGCAGATGTATTCGGATCCGATGCTGTTACAGATGCACACATTAGAACACCGTCATTCACCCCACCCGCAACTTCAATCAGACCAATTACACTTGATGCGGCGACGGGGTCAACAACCAGGAGAGATGGAAGAGTTACTAGCTAATACGTCGTGGCAGCCATTTCCTTAGCATGGAATGGACTAGGTTTGTGAGTAGAAAAAGGATACCCCTCTGCATAATTACGACATCAATAGATGTTTTCTTAGATGATGGAAGGGATTGGAGTTTGGCATAGGTAAATCAAAACATTGATGATTGACGCCGAATATGGACAGTCACATATTGCAGTTTATGAATTTTCGTTCTATGGACGTCATCTAAGATATCTATGATCCAAAGCGAGTCTTATACCCCCAACATAGGCAATGAGCAGGATCTTTTAGAGACACGGCGGGAGAGCATCTCGTCGTGGATTATGCTCAATGATGTATATAAAATGTGTAAATCAGGCACATAACTTGGCATTTGTGCTATTCACGGGCCACCTTATAATAAAGTCAGCTTAAGTGGCCTCTATTGATGATGCAGAGCAGACCGTCATAGCGATCCTATCCATCTGCGACGTTGATCGGAGTCCGATCGAAGTTAGCTCCCAATATGCCCAACCCTCGGAGCTAAAATCCGAGACGAATGAACTCGAAAGAAAAGCAAGGGGTTACGTCGGCATACCTCTTGGGTATACCTCTTGTTGGTCCAGTTAATGGCCAAGTAAGAGAACAAGTAAATCTAGGGTGGACATATAGGGCACAGCTTGAGGATCTTCGGGCTTTCTGAGGGGCTGCACGACGGCCTTAGACAGATCATTTAGGTTCTAGAGGTGGTCTTGGCCATGATTGTTTTGAAGGGAATATTTGCTTGGTACGTGTAAATTAGTTATAGGTATGGTACTGCGATGCGAACCGAGCTTCGCCACGTGAGATCGCCCAAGCCCAAGCCCAAGCCTCCAACCAGGTTGAACCAGCTAAGCTGTTGCATAAGTTTATTTCGTCGAATAAGATCAGCCGCTTTAGCTATATAATACAACTATGCCCAGGGGGTATATATTAGAATTAGTACAACAATGACAACACCCCCACTGACGATGCTGTCGTTGCTCTACTCGTCAAACAACAACTAAATCTACGGAAAGGTTTTTTTTCTTTTTTTAAGATGGAGGCTATAGATATCGAGCACGACCTAGTTATCGTTGAGGAATTTGATGCTTTGTATGTGTTACTGCTATCCCGAAGCCCTTGTTAACCTTAGCTTCACCGACAATTACAATGTCTACCACAATGGACCTTCATCAGTTCCGCTGCAGGACTAAGGGTCTGGTACACAGCGCCGTCTCTGCCGCCGTCGCAGTCATGCTCAGCATTCCAATTCTGTCTAGGATACCACTAACAGAAGTTATTGGGAATAGATCTATCGAGGTTAACGTCGCGGAATTAGAAGGTAAAGTCGACGAAGGTCTTAGGAGATACCCTGGTAAGTTCAGTTCTAAGCTTAACTAAATCATATTCCTTCGAGCTACACACCGACGGTATAGTGTTGGTAGCTTAGTCTATTACACCAACTATATTGTATCAGTATATGTTTACATATAATTATACGGTTTGAACGCGGTTCGATTTGCACGTATCTTTTGAACTATACAAGGGTGATGCTAGCCCCTGAAGGATATTATTGCACGTTACCCAGCCTCCTTTTAGACAAAACAACACAACATATACATTTGCACCACATCATCTTTCTGAGCATACCGCATCGTCTACCAATATCGGATCTACGTCCTATATTCCTCAATTCTTCTCTTTTCTCTTCTCTTCTTCCGCGTATATACGAATGTTTTAAGAATATATTCTAACGATTGTTAGCCAAACAACATGCGAGGAAGGTTGCTAAGGAGCTTGGAGCCGATAATGGAATTATCTATTTGCCGGGCCAGCTAGAATCAACGTGGGAAGATTCAGATCAAGGGCCCCCGTTCCGGCAACGCCGATAGTATGTCTGCTTAGGTACCCTTCAAATGGTATCAACCTCCTTCTAAATATCCTCGAGACTAACTGAAGCACCCAGTTTCTATTATCTGACCGGTGCCGACTTTCCGGGCTGTAGCGTGACGTACGATATCGCTGCGGACAAGCTCACGTTATGGATCCCGTTTACACCTCCGGCAACGATACTCTGGTTCGGGAAGACGCCTACGCTGGAAGAATGTATCACGAAGTCGGACGTTCATGATGTCAAGTACATCGGCGAGCTTCCGGCTTATCTGAACGCACGGCTGACTACGATCAAGTCTCTTTACGCCCTTCGCTCAGCTCAGCTGCCTAAATTTGACGGCTTCGAACAGCTGCGGCCCTCACTCAAGATCGACGTCACGTCGCTTCAGCCGGCGATGGATGAAGCGCGGGTTATCAAATCTGACTATGAAATAGCTATGATTCGTAAGGCTAACGAAATCTCGTCGGCGGCACATAAAAAGGTCGCTCTACAGCTGAGTAGCATGAAAAATGAATGTGAAGTCGAAGCCGCATTCGCTGCGGCGTGTAGAGCGGCTAACGCGAAAGCGCAAGCTTACCCTATAATCGCCGGGTCCGGTCCTAACGCTTCAACTCTGCACTACGAGGCCAACAGCGATCCACTTGCGGGGCGACAGCTTGTGGTGCTTGATGCCGGTACTGAGTGGTCTTGCTACGCTAGCGATATAACACGTACCCTTCCCCTAGGTCCACGTTACCGGTTCAACTTGGAGGCTCGGGCTATCTACGAACTTGTCCATCGGATGCAGGAAGAATGCATTCGACGCATCAAGCCAGGCGTCATCTTCCGCGACTTGCAACTACATGCGACTTTTATTGCCGTTCAAGGCCTACTAGAACTTGGAATCTTGCATAATGGGACTGCTGAAGAGATCTTTAAGAACGGTACCGGTGCCGCTTTCTTCCCGCACGGCCTCGGCCACCACGTCGGTCTTGACGTTCACGAGTTGGTTTCCTCCTCCCTGTTTACATACCCTCTAATCCCCTTTAAACCCCTTACCCTACTATGTCCACAACAGCAAACCCCTATTCCCATCACTTCGTATGCCAGTCGTAATAACGGTATTTTCTCCTCTAGCGTTCTTAGCAGAGACCTCCTGCGTCCCGCCGGTGAAGGTATGTGGGGAAAGCGTCGACCCATCGGTCCCCAGTCCGTACGTGCCATGATCAAGCAAGCTGCCAGCAACGCCCCTCCTACGCCTTCGTCGCCAACCAGCACCACCACCGCCAGCACATCACAGGATCCACAATCGCCATCCACACTCACTGAATCCTCGCCAACACAATCTACAAATCCACCTCTCCCGCCACGATCATCGCCCTCCCCACCTCCGGTAGTAGTCACAACAGCCGAACCAACTTCACCCTCGTCACCGCCCGCCAGCAGAAAAAACAGCAGCAACAGCGACAGCAACGCCACCATCAACGGCGACGTCAACCCCCCCCTTCCGCCACTCCCACCCCAGCCCCGACGTCTGCCATCTCCCCCTCAACGCCAGCAATCCATCTCGCAGCCCCAGACCCAACCCAAGAGCAAGAAATCAAAGCGTCCGACGCGCAGCTCGCTGCAGCCCAACATGGTCGTCACGGTCGAGCCGGGCATCTACTTCTGCCGGCCGTACATCGAGGCGTACTTCCTGCGCCGCCCCGAGCACGCGCGCTACATCGACGCCGCGGCGCTCGAGCGCTACTGGGCCGTCGGCGGCGTGCGCGTCGAGGACTGTGTGCTTGTTACGGATGGCGGGTACGAGGACCTGACGACGGCGCCTAAGGGGGCAGAGTTGTTGCGCATGATGGGGTATGCATGAGATGGGATGCGCTGGATGGGAATAGGGGGGGGAGGTAGATCAGCGGAGGGAAATAAAGGGAAAATAAAATAAACATAAGGGAAAAGAGAAAGAGAAAGAGAAACGAATGGGATAAACTACATGAATACCTACCCGAACAGGCAGGTAAGCGAGCAAGCAAGCGAGGATATATATATTCATACTTTTTGGGTTTCTTTTGTTTTGCTTCGTCGATCATTATTTACATATTTACATCACAAGGTGTCTACCTCCTATATATACATAGCTCATACAAGGGATGGATGGGAATAGGCGTTTGGGAAATCAGCTTGCTGTATATGATGTATCTTATCCACATGTATGTAGTCGATGTCTTTACGGCGTCTTTTCAAGCTTCGGTTGGGGTTTAATTTGACCTTTATGAGAAGATTAGATTTCGCGAACACCTCATATTATATAAAATATAATTGATGGGAAAGTATGTCATTTCGCGCAATAATGAAGCCCCTTTTATTTTCGGTATATAGTACAAGAGAGACATCTCGTCACACTTCAAATGTTTGGTTTAGGGTAACGCCGCCTCATTGAAATTCTCATTCATGCGCTAAACAAAAAAACACAGTCATGCAAACCCGCATCCCACGTCCAGATATTTTATACAAAGTTCTACCCAGCGCCTTGCCTCACCTCGCCAGCCCCTCCTCAAATAACTATTTAGATATATCATAAGTATTTCTTGGGCATAATCTTCTTCCGCTCGTAGTAGATGTAAGCAACCACTATCAAGATCTGGCTTCCGATAATGACGAAGATGAGCTTTCCGTGCTTCGGGGCGGCCTGCACCGCGACGTGTTCTAACATGGTACCGTGATTTGTGCCTATGAAACTCTTCACCGCGTGTTCCGAGTCCTTCACCTTCAAATTGATGTCGCTTCGCATGTCTTTGAGTTCCCGCTGTAGCTTGGTAATTTCATTCTCAAGCGAGTCGAGTCTATCTAGCTTCGACAGGATCTGCTTCACATCGTAGATAGCCTTCGAGACTTCTTCGTGTCGTTTTTCACCAATACTCCCCAGACTTGCGACCTGGCGGAAGATAGTCGAGAGGTGCTGGTTAGAGCTCTGTATACGGTTGTGAAGGTCTGCGAACTGAGCTTCGGAGCTTGTGTATACGTTGGCAGCAGTATCGGGAATAGAATCACCAAAAGCATCTACTTCATTGGGATTGTTGTTCCGGGTATTGGGGTTGCGGCCATAGCTCATCTGCGCTTGCGCCTGGTTCTGGTTTGATTGCTGTTGCTGCTGCTGTTGCTGCTGTTGTTGCTGTTGCTGCTGCTGCTGCTGCTGTGGAGGTGCGTCGTGTTTAGCATCGAGATTCTCCGTCATGGTCACCATCTTAAATATTTCGAATGAATCAGGGTTATCTCCTGCTGCGGCTGTGATACCGAAGTAGTATCCTGGTGGGATGCTGATCTTATCACTTTCGAAACATAGCCTACCATCAACCTCAACCTTGAATACCTGGGGCGTTTGCCTTAACTTGATCTGAGAAGGCCGACCTAAGTTACGGTAGGGGTAGTTGCAATGTCCAAAGGCTAAGCTGTCGACGCTCTGATGCGACTTGAAATCGATAGTGCCGTCGTTCAAGAACCCCCTAATCATGCCACCCGATCCGCTGTGCTGGTCAATCACAAGGGCTAAGCCGTCAAATCTGTTGACCGTGTAGACACTAGACGAGCCAATTTCTTGGTTACCTCGTCTTGCAAGCCAGATGTTGAGATTTCCACTACCCCTCTCTTGCCCATTCACTCTAAAATCGACATCGGCCACCCACGTCGAATACCTGTTCGGTTGGTCTGCCCATATCGCGCCGCGAGTATTACCGGGTGCTGGAGGAGTAAGGATCAACTTGTTGGAAAGGACTTCAGGTACGTCTGGTGTGCCCTGTATGGAGAAGCCTGGCACAGTTGCTTGTCCTCGGTCATTTATTCTGGCGGGCTTCTGTCAGCCTTTTTATCTGATAGAAGATGTTCTTTGATCTTCTCTCCGAGAACTCACCTGCCAGTGTAACCGAAGCTTAGCTCATTGACAAGGAATTGCGCCTGTGCATCAGCGAATTTCGCCGTCGTAGCAAGCCCAAAGGCAAAGGTTGACGATCGTAACAAACGCATGCTTCGATTTGAAATAGAATTAATAAGACAGAAGCTTTTCCCGGAAAATGCAATAGGTATATTAAGGAGATTATTGAGAAATTAGTCTTTTTTTGGTAAGGGTGGGAGAATACACGAAGTGAACAAAACAAGTAGTTCGTGACCTTCGTAAGGACACTTTGCACCAAAGCTGTCCTAATCTGAGCCTGAGCTCAAGAGAGGCGGGGAGCTTAACTACCTAGGAATAGGAAACAGAACAGAAAAGCGAATTGAAAAAAAAAAAAAGATTGCCTATTAGACTAAGCAGAAGCACCGACGAATATCGCTCTTAGGTAAGTTAAAGGCAATCTATGTAATTGATTCAAAAGGAAAAAAGTCTAAAAAAATAAATAAAGACAGATTGTGCACTGGAAGTGTGGATAGCTCAAACCTTCATAGCCTTCCCCCCAGAAAGGAGCAAGTGTAACTGTTTCCCGTATTCCTTTTAGTCTAGGCTAATTGAACTTGGAGGCTTGAAACAATTGGTACCTGTGTACCTCTTTCGCGCTAACGTCCTAACGTCGCAGCAGATGTGTACTCGGTACTTGATCCCTGTTTCATGTTCTACGTAGCCAACAAGGGCATGCAAGGCGGTAGCTGGAAAAGGTATGTGGGTGTGGCAGGAAAGAATGCGTGGAAGGCGTGGAATGGCAGATCAACTAAAAAAGGGACGCACGGACCCCTGCCTTTTCGACTTTAGTTGGATTTTTTCGAGGGATGTCGCACGTCGGTAAAAATACGTACCGATCCTGTGGAGCTTGTCATCCTAGCCTCAATTGACTTCAATTCTTCAACTAAGCCCCAGCGCTACAACGCCATCTCCTCTATTTTGCATCTTGAAAGGTTACCAGTTAACGCCAAGCCCTAGAATTTGGAAAGTATCGAAGCATGTCATGAAATCAAACCCAAATGACTGAAACATATCCTACTCTTGCGCAATGCGCAATAGTTGCAACCGCGTTCAAGATCCTCCTATTCCCGGCCTAGTAAGTGCTTCTAGTTGTTGTTGTTGTTGTCGTTGTTGTACCAATTCCTACATTTTCACTTTACAGAGAACCTAACAGCTAAATTACTCAAAGTAAATCTACCGATTTTGAGGTGCATAGGAACTGGTTAGCTATCACGAATAGTCTACCAATATGGGAATGGTATTACGAAAAGACTTCTGAATGGACTTTGGACTATCCTCCGTTTTTCGCCTACTTCGAATGGATTATGTCTCAGGTAGCAAAGCTAGCTGACCCGGCCATGCTTCGAGTTTATAATTTAGGCTATGATAGTTGGCAAACTGTTTACTTCCAAAGATTTACAGTCATCGCTACAGAATTGATTCTGATATACGCCCTGCAATTGTATGTCTTAACTGTACCGCTGCTTGGCTTGTTGTACTAACATAACGTCGTAGATTTGTCGAGTCTTCGCACGGGGTGACCAAGCGTGCAACCCAAGCCGCCGCAATCTCAGTTATCCTCTCCCCTGGCCTTCTCATCATAGACCATATTCACTTTCAGTATAATGGGGCTATGTACGGCGTCTTGATCTTATCATTGGTCTTAGCCCGTCAAAAGACAGGCCTCCTAGCTAGTGGTATCATGTTCGCAGCATTGCTATGCATGAAACATATCTATCTTTATCTTGCGCCGGCTTACTTCGTTTACCTTCTTAGAACCTATTGCCTCTCGCCCAAGTCAATATTTCGTATCCAATTCCTCAACTGCTTAAAGTTAGGATCCGGCATCATCGGCGTATTCGGACTGGCGTTCGGGCCATTTGCACTTAAGAACCAGATTCCTCAGATCCTAAGCAGGCTATTCCCATTCTCCCGTGGACTCTGCCATGCGTACTGGGCTCCAAACGTATGGGCTATGTATTCCTTTGCGGATCGAGTATTGATATTTGGTAACTAGTACCCTCTCTCTATATAAGGTTTAGTAACTGACAAACCTAGTTGCGCCACGGCTGGGATTGCCGGTTAAGTCGGAGGCTATTAATAGCGTTACAAGAGGTCTAGTTGGGGATACAGCTTTTGCAGTACTTCCTGAGATTACACCTAGGATATGTTTTGCGCTCACTCTCCTATTTCAAATCATACCCCTCGTGAGGCTGTTTTCCCGTCCTAACTGGGATGCTTTCATAGGAGCAGTCACTCTCTGCGGCTACTCGTCATTCCTCTTTGGATGGCATGTTCATGAAAAAGCCATTCTACTCGTTATTATTCCATTCAGCTTGATCGCTCTCAAGGACCGGCGGTATCTCAGTGCGTTCCGTCCCTTGGCAGTATCCGGTCATGTCTCGTTATTCCCACTGCTATTTACTCCTGCCGAATTTCCGATCAAGACAGTTTATACCATATTCTGGTTGGTTCTATTTCTGATGGTGTTTGATCGCACTGCTCCGGCTTCAAGTCGGCCGAGGTTCTTCCTCTTTGATCGGTTTACTATTCTCTATATCACGGTTAGCATACCGCTGATCGTATACTGCTCATTGTTACACCGAATCATATTTGGCAAGAGCTACGAATTTCTGCCTCTAATGTTCATGAGTTCATATTCAGCAATAGGGGTTGTTGGTAGTTGGATAGGGTTTATGGTGGTATATTTTGCCTCGTAGACTAACTAGTCAATGATATTTCGGAGTTTAATGACTTTAATGTTAGGTTCAACTGGAGTAACTAGTTAAATATAAAGTTTAAGAATTGTTCTCCTATGACATGGTTTGGACGTTCTGTAAATGAAATGTGTTTTGAATAATAGGCATTGGTCGGGAATCTCGGCTAGGTTTTAAGCAGGACAGGTGACTAGCTCTCCCTACGTAGGTACCCAGGGGGGGTTGTGGGCTGCTTGGTGCCAACCATACATATATGTACATAGGTGTGGTGACTAAAATTTCCTGACAGGCTTGTTTAAGGCCCAGTCTCACCGACGGCCTATCGATCTCAAGGAACCACCCGGTTATCCAAACAAAGACGTATTAATTGGCACATGATATCCGGTTCATCAATATCGGAAAATAATGCGCGGAAAATGCTAGAGACTGCTTAGGGATTTGCTACTTTAGTCGCATAAGGACCTATACATAGATTAGATGAATATGTTGTTAAGAAGGCCTAATGTTGATATATAGCCGCACTCGGAGCAATATTAGCTATAAAATTACATAATTCATCAATTATATAGAATAGAGAGTGGGCTTTAATTTGAGTTATTCAAAACCCTGTTCCGACATGTGGTTGGCTTGAAAAGTGCTTTCGAGGATGATTATCGAGATCGAGGGAATTTGACATAAGCTGGCCCTATATTAGACCCAGGACTCTAGGTTGCTTTTATATCGTAGGTATTTTACAAATATATGGTTAAAAGTAATAGATTCCGTACTCGTTCGAATGGTCTAGAATAGGCGATTTGAACGAGTATAAGAATGTTGTTGAATGTTTGCATTCTGGGACCGTAGGGAGCAAAGAGTGACGATGGGGTAGGTAGGAGTGGTTATTCAAGGTGGACACGACTTTGAGGCCCATCCCAAATAAGCGAAAGAGACCCACTACGGAGCTAGATTAAACCAATAAGAAAACAACGTTGAGTGGCTTAACCCCCGTCTCCCGGGGTCTGGCTCTTGCTTCCCGCCTGCCGTACATAAGGTACCTGAGGTAGCGTTTTCCTTCTTCCTCCTTGCCCTTCGCCTTATTATTTTTAGTCCTCTCCTCTCCTCCCCTTCTACAAATCTTTTACAAAACAACAACTAATCCCGTCGCGTCCGCAATCCAGTATTTTTTCTTCGCCTGCAACCACCATTTGGTTCAACGCACCGGGTTGTCCAAGACTATCTTGACGCGTCTCGTACAATTTCAACCGCGTTCCTACTATATTTGATAAGTTCACATGTAAGTCCGCCCATGCTCACGCCCGCTTTATCAACCCTACCCTCGATCTCAACCTTGCACTTTCCCGCACCGTGACCACACTTTTACATTCACACCAATTCCACAACAACACATTAAAAAAGCAGCTTCTATTAGTCGACATGATATAATTATATTTATACTATCGCTGGAGAATCAACTTATATGCGCCACCCCGGACAGAAGGCTGACTTTCAGCCTTGCAGGATTCATCGTGCGGCTAGTTAACAACTTTTGGCTTTTCAAGAGCCGATAGGCACAATGGTAAGTCATGACTACACAATCATACACTGAGAGACATAATAGCTAAACTTTTATAGGTCCTATTCAAGCGCAAGCCGGTGCAGTTTCTGCAAACCCCATCGGTTGAGGATGAGTCCACAGAGGTAGCATACATCCTCTCAGGTTTCACACATTTTCACACCTCCAACTAACGGCTCTTAGGTCTGGTATATCCCCCAAACAGGGGAGATATTTATTACCTACGAAGACTATCTGAATCGGTAAGTTCCCTAAACTTAATCCAATTTGATATTTACTATGCTAACTATTCTTAACTAGTATGGACTTTTATAACCAGGTTGGTATCCCGATTGGACTTTGATTGCACCCTTAGTAGTTGGCTAACATATACATATGTATTTAGCCTCGGTTTATTTGTCAAATCACAGGGCACTCTGGCCTATCTTTCTTTGAGGCTCTTAAGAGCGAGGTAGGTTCATTAAAGATATTGTCGCATATGTATCGCATTCCTCTAATTAGTAGTATAGCTTGCTGGCGCACAGGAAGTTGACCAGGCATTCCCTGAAGCTCTTAAGGCTCCTGTTTTGCGCCGTGTTCAGTTTCAGACGATTTCACGCATTGACACGTTGGTAGATATGATCTACGACGAATTCAAGGCTGATTACTATCCTGGGGAGTCAGTTATGGTACAGCTAATGAATGGGGAGCGCGTAGCAGGAACTGTCAGGGACAAAGCTCGTCTAGGAAGCAAAGTCCTACCAGACGGAACTCTCACGCAACCCTTTTCACGCTATATGATTAGTATTGACGGTAGGCCCGGTGAGGAAGCTGTCATGGATGGTGATCATGTCTATCGCGACAGGAAGATTTTCACCAAGTCAGTGTTGCGATCTTTTATTAAGAAGACGGTGACTCGAGAAGCATGGACTGGCGCCCCTTGGTTGGTTAAGCACGATGTCGCGGCGCAGTACCATATCGATACCCGAGTACCACCTCACCTGCGGTATGACAATAAACTGCTAGAGAGAAAGCAGCACCAAGCCCAGAAGAAGGCATCGCAACCAAACAACGGAGTACAGGATATGAATGGTACGGGCGGTGCTTTTCAGAGTTTTGGCCCGGCTCGATTACCTGAGCTTAAGCCTGCACCTAAGAGCCATAAGGCCATCAAGACTCACCACAGCCAGTCACCACATCACCAGGATATGGATATCCACAATGGTGTCAATATGTATCTTCCACAAAACCAGGGACCGCATCCTCAGGCGCCCGGAAACGTGCCATTTCAGTTTCCTGTGCCATTCAGAAACGGCATGGCTCCGCCGCCTGCCCAACCCCAACCGGAACTACCGCCACCTCCTCCGCCGCCCCCAAAATATCCCATTGAGGATTTACAGCTGGAGCCCCGTGACGATTATGTTCGGCCGGCACTGAAGTTCATGTGCAGCGACCCTCCTGAGGGTGTTGTTGACAGTGTTGCACGAAACGACAAGATTCTGATGAAATCTATCGGGTCGCTACTGGAGACGTGGGTAACATTAAACGTCTACTGCGAGGTCTTCAAATTAGACTCGTTTACTTTTGACGATTTTGTTGAGGCGGTAGAGATTACCAAGGAAGATACTCCTTGTCAGCTATTTACTGAGATCCATTGTGCAGTCCTAAAGCAGGTAGTGAGCTCCGAAGCCGACGGTGGTCAGCTACTGGTGGATCTTCCGGAGCTTGATGACGATGAGGAGGAGGAAGACGAGGACAGTGAATCCGCCAGTCCCGAACCCGAACCCGAGCCAAAGCCGACAGGACGTGCTACTAGAAGTAGTTTGGCTAAGTTAGAAGCAGAGAGGATTAAGGCTGAGGCTGCTGCTGCTGAGAAAACCCCGGAGCCCGAGATTAAACATCGTGCCCCCGAGGCTTTAGCCAACTTTGACTGGGTCGAGCAGCTCAAGAAACGTGAATTTCAAGATGGTGGTTGGGAGTTGATTATGGTTGGAATTCTACACCGGCTGTCTAAAAGACCGTGGCAGGCTGAGTCTTGTGAAGAGGTGTTAGCCAGCCTCGTACCTCCCAATATCGACCCGAGCCAGGAGACGGTCCGTTTACAATACAGCAAACTTGATTTCAATCTCCGTGTTTTGGCTCTTGAGATCATCTGTCTGCTAACTGTCAGCACCAAGGCTGTCCGTGCATACATTGACGAGTGTTCTGAGACTCAGACGGGCTACAGGAAGGAAAAGATTGAATGGCAGAAGCAGAAAAAAGCAGCGTAAGTTGGAGCTTAGCTTATCTTGGGGCTTAATATACTGACCGTCTTTGCAGCAACGAGGAACTTAAAGGCTTCTACGACCAGCACAAAATTCTCCTACCGGAAAATATGCCTCCGTCACCACCAGCAGAGGAAGCTGAGATAAAGACTAATGGCGATGTGAAGATGACCGATGCTGATGATTCGCCCGAAGAGCAGAGCGAGGCCGAAGACAGTGACATAGACGCGAATGCTCGCCACAATACTCGACGGGGTGGCAATCGTGCAGCAGAACGTCAGCGTAAACGTGAAGAAGAGGAGCGGAAGAAAGAAGCCGAGCTAGCTGCTAAGGTGCCGAAGCAATCTAAGCAATTTCTGAAGCTGCAGAAGGATATCCAGAAACGGGAAAGCACGGTTAAGAAGTGCGAGAATGAGATTAGCATCTTGGACAACGACCTTCGAGAAGCAGATTGTTTCCGAACTCGGCCTCTTGGTAAGGATCGATTCTGGAACCGGTACTATTGGTTTGAGCGTAATGGCATGCCATATGCTGGATTACCTACCAGCTCAACGGCCCATGCAGGCTATGCGAATGGTTGTATCTGGGTCCAGGGCCCTGATGAGATGGAACGAGAGGGATATATCGACATGCTCCCAGAGCACCAGGAAGAGTACAAGGCGAAATTTAAAATGACGGTTCCACAGAGGAAAAAGATGGAAGAGGGTCGTACCAGCGTCTTCAACGCTTATCAATGGGGTTATTACTCAGAACCGAGCGAGGTCGACTCACTTCTGAACTGGCTTGATCCTCGAGGTTTCAACGAGTCTAAATTAAGAAAGGAAATCTTGGCCTACAAGGAGAAGATTGTAACGCATATGAAGAGCCGAGCCCAGTATATCTACCAAGAAGACGAAGAGGAGACCAAGGAGACGGTAAAAGAGAATGGGAAGAAGGAGGAGCCTAAACGGATGACGACCCGAAAGACTCAGGCTAGTCCCGAGCCTACCCAATTCCGTTGCCTCAACTGGACCAATAATGTTGCCATTGAGGAGTTCGGACACCTCCACAGCGAGCCTCCTCCGCAACCAAAGACGAAGGGCCGCAAAGGTCAAAGGAAGAGCCGGGGCTAATGCTAATATTTTTCCTATCCTTCGACTCCTGAACCATATCAAAACTGCCCTTCTTTCACGCAATCATTAATTGATTCTCGGTACATAGACACGCGAACAAGCAAGCAAAGAGTTACGAGTGAGGACGGCGTTTAACTTCGACGTATCATATTTTCTAGAGGGCGGCAACGAGTAGAAAAAATTTCATCATTAATGGCCGGCACGGTGTTACGGATGAGTCAAGGTGTTTTCGGGATGGAAATTCTTCTTTTTCAACGATACGATTTGATAGGTGTCCGACTATCCATGTCTAGGGAGAGAGGAGAGGGAGTTTTCAATGTGAGAAGTCAACTGGTACCGATATCACGACACTAAGGAAGATAGGGGATAGTTGGCATATCCTGTACATAGGTGCGGTAGGAGATATGTAGGTTAGGACGGACGGATGCGTATTAGCATGATCTGGTCTATAGCTCAAGCTTGGCTATCCAATAAAGAGAATTTTGCCACGGTTTATCTTTCTCAATGATCCAGCTTTGTATGGCTGTAGATTGTACGAATAGGTACCTGTACATAACTAATATGGTACAAACAAGGCTTACCTTGTAGTGAGTCCCTAGATTAGATAATTAAGTTGCCAACTTAAACACTTATATGTTGCCTATAACATATGGAGTACATAGGTAATATGCTCTTTATTAAAAGACTTGGGATACTTGCTGTAGTCAACTATAGATAATGAACTGCTATTATGCTTCTTGTTCACAATCCCTGGCTTATTAGCATAATACACTTGGCATGGCCACCAAATGGGTAAGATAATTACTAGCAAGGTGATAATATTCTTTACTTATTATATTTACTAAATCATACCTCATAGTGAGACAATAATGGGCACGTAGCCCCCTGGCTCACATACCTTGATTGTTAACTACATGTAGTCAAGTCATAACTTAAATTCGGTTGTCACGTAGTTATAATACTACAATGGGATGAGCTAGTTGGATGGTTAATATGATTGTTTCGAGGCACTTGTGCCTCCTAACCAAGTTTTATTTATCTGCAAACGCCTCTAAATACACTGTAGGCCAAAGTCTTATTTCCTTCCGACTCGATGCCCTATCTCAGATCAGTGCTATGCGAATTCAGCTTTCTCTCTTCCTAGATAAAGCCAAGGGACGTAATTAAACCGGGGATATCATGGTGAAAACGGGATGGGCCATATTAATATTTCCCCCTCACATCAAGCCTAGAGAGCTTCGTCGTCGATTTCTCCAACCACTAGGGTTCGTATAGTTTGCACACTCGTCGTATAAAGAAAATAAGGAAAATGAGCGTTGTAGCACTCCTCGCGAAGCAAGGCCGCGGCTACTGATTTGTCTTCCGCGGGCATTAGTATTCTGTGGCCCCTGTTACTGTTTGGCCAGCTCGCCTATGGAAAGGAGGCTGATATTCGTATTGTGGCAACCGCACTCACACAATGTTGCAAAGTGACCATCTTCTGGCACTATTATGTTAGTATCAAATACAAGTTAGTGGCAACTGGAACAGATCAGTCGGCACTTTAGGAGATTCGGAATGAGCATGGTCAAAGTATAGTCCGGTGTTGTCGGAGAAGGCGATACGGATAATTGGCTAATACTCAGCCCACAGCAGCGGCAGGGGTTTGTAAGGCAGGCTGTGGTCGTTTCGCGGGTGGCGGGTTCCCCTAAATTACGTGTTAGTGAGCTCCATAAGGATACAAGGACCTCCTTGGATATCCTGGCGGTGGTCACGATATTGGCCATCTACCATGTATCTCTACATACTTCGGACGAAGCGTTGCGCTTCTTTTGGCTGACTGTGGAATCGCCGTTTGCAACTATCTTTCTAACAGGGCGGGGGCGCGCTGGTTTGACTTCTCCGGGCTCGAAAACGTCGTCGGGAAGATTGGTACTGGGAATTTGAAGTTAATAATTGTAATAAACCGGTTTAGCGGTGGACTTACTTCTTCACGTGCTGGATACTGAGATAATTCAAGCTTGGCTCGTACTTCTCCCATTGACTGCACAGATCCTTAAATGTGTTTACTTGGAAAGACAGATCCAATGATTTTGCGCCTAACATGTCATCAAGCTTAGGTTAGGAATCACAGCGGAGCGTTCGCTGGCTCGAAAAGCCACATAGAATATGTATACAAAAACAGGATGAAGTAGAGGGGCACTCACCTTCAGCAAGCTCGAGGCCTACATAGTGCGTCGTGGTGTATATCTTCGATGCGTTGGGGGCTGCATCGGGGATGCTCTCCACATTAATCTTCTGGTCCTCAGAGTCGGACTTGATATCTAAGCTCATCGATTCGCCATTCTCAACTTTGACCGTGGGATTCTGTTCTGTCTTGTCCTCAGTCTTGACTTCAACACCATTCTCGTTCTTCACCTTGTTGTCATCTTCACTATCGTCATCTTGGACAAGGTAAGTCAGGTTCCCATTTCGAACCTCTTCAGTTTCCTGGTCGTTCTTAACCTTGTGTACCCTTTCGTATCCTTTATTGAAGGGGCGCGCAATCGCAACCGAAGCATGCCGCTCCAGATCGCCCACTAAAACACGGACTTTCGACTCTACGAACCCTGACCATATCTTGTGCGCCTCTTTGGTAGTACTAGTCGCAATGACGGCCAAGTAATACTTGTGGTCTGCAGTGAAGAACGTGTGCTTTACAAAAAGATCCTTCCACGCGAGCTTTCCGGCTCTTATCCTATCAGTGAGATCAGCGCCCCGTTCCAGCTCGCGCTGTATAATGGCCATGGTAGAATGTGTGATGTTGAAAGTTGCACACATCTGAGGATAAGCAGGAGTGATTACAGGCATTAGGTGATAGCTGTCACTCTTGTATATCTGCGGCTAGTTAACCAAGTGAAACTTCTAATTTGCTCATGAAAGTAAACACCGACCTTGGGATTCCAGACACGGACATTGAGTGGCCCCTCATCCATGTGCTTCAGCTGTACAGGTATAGGCCACTGCCAGACTTTCATGATCTGAAAGAATTTGGAAACAATGGTAGCACTCGCTGCCTTCGGATAGAGTTGGCAAACCCGTGCTACCATCATAGCCCACACTACTCCACCGGGAAATCCAATAATGTTGGCGTATATAGCGCGACGTGTTGCCCATAACTTGATGGCTCGAAGGGCAAGGCGAAAGGTGCTTTGCTCCGGGACCAGGTTCAAAATCTCTCTCGTGACTCTAGTTCCGTTGAGGGAGCGGAGCTCACGATCATCTAAGCCACGTAGATATTCATTGTTATTCAGATTGAGTTGGCCATGTGGTGGGAACTGTTTCAGCGTAGCTATTCTTGAGAAGATCAGATCAATACTGATTCCCCAATATTCGAACTTGATGATAGGTACAAATGCATCTTCTACAGCAGTGAGATCTGTCACTGCACCCTCGGGGGCCATCTCTTGTAGTAAAGAAGGGAAATGTTTAAAATAATCATCACGAGTGACGTATCGGGGAGCAGTGACGAGGGTATCAATATCAGAGCCGGGACCGTAGACGCCTAAACAGAAACTTCCGTATGTGAAGACCTCGCCGCGAGCATCGCGGATGAGAACTTCATTTTGCGGTTCCTTCTCCTTTGCTACTCGTCTCACAAACTCGTCGGCGATACGCTGAAGATCGACAAGGACCTTCTCTCTAGTAGAATAGATTTGTTAGTTGCGATTGACAGACAAAGTTTCACCACGAGCTGGCTATCCAGCTTACCTCTTCTTAGTTTCGGCTGCGGATTCAAACGTATTTTGTCGTCGCAGTTCTTCTAAGAGAAGATGTGTAGACTGTGTCTCGGCTGGTGTGGGAAGAGCAACTGAAATCGGAGGGGTGATGCCCCAGGTCTGTTCAGATTTTGCCATTGTGTCTTGTTGGGAAGATATCGAAGGATGATGATGCTTAAGAAAATGTCAGGAAAGGAAATTATCCGGATCTAGAATGAATTAAATAATTAAAAGAAGGTAGAATAATGCTGCGCGCAGGCAGGAAGTTGAAAGGATCTGACTTGGTCTCGTCTGTGACAAACAGCATCGAAAGTCGCTTCGAGAAACAATCACATTGCCTTTGGGGTATCGTCGGTAAATTCGGGGTATTCGTTGTAAGTATTCGTTATAAGCCTAGGCAAATGCAGCAGGTCGACTGGGCTTCAGGAACGGGTAAGGACTCGCGCGAATAAGTGTAAGAAAAGAAAAAAGTACGAGTATACTAAAGTTTATGGGATACGCGTAAAAAGAATTGATGTTTGGAATGAATGATGGTAAGGAAATGGAGACAAAGAAAATATAAAATCTACCTTTACATGTACGTAGGTACTTAGGTGGTACCTACCTTTGCTTTGCTTTGTACTTTCCTCGGGAACTGATCTGCGACTGTTTATCATTTATCATTTATCGATATATACCGCGCGCTTATCAAAGAATCCTTTTTACGACGTAAGAATTGAATCGGAAGTCCACATGTACCTAAAAGTACCTTAGGTAATATCAAGTCAAATTTAGCACACTGGATGAAAAAAAAAAAAAAAATCGTTTTCATTCTTATCAAAGTATAATAATAGAAGACATGTTCCCCTCCCCCCAAAAAGACCATTTCAAAAAACAAAGAACTATATTATTTCTATCATCTTGGGTATAGGCATTATCCCTGATTCTACGCAATCATCCAATATACGCAAAAGCTCAAAATTCAATCTGTAACTCTCTACTCAAATTAAAGCTGGGTTTATTTGGTAAGGCCGATGGCTACCTATGTTGTGAGTAGAGTGGCCATCTCAAACCATTTTGTACAAATTGTACAAGTACTAGTATATTAAATATCCATGCTCCAACGCCTTACCCACTCATCCGCAAGAGCGATTTCGAGGGGATCCATGTGCCAATGCTGCCTTGAGATCCAAAATGCTAATCCTCCAATGATACCAAGGCTACCTATAACCTCTAAAGCAACCCATCCTTTCGCTCTCAAGTCTGCTGTCACTTGAAGCAATCCTAGTGGATCTTGGTGCGGTACCGTCTTTGTCGAAGGCCTACGTTTGGATGGTCTTCTTGTCCTTACTGAGCCTGTATCTTGGGGCTTATTCAGGGCTACTAGTGTGCCATCTTGCACACATTCGTTCAATCTCTCCGTAAGCCAAATAGCACGTTCTCCTCGAGCAAGCGATTCATAATGGGCTCGCTCACTAGCCAGACTACGCTGAAGATTGGCTGCCCAATCCACCACATGCATTTGGGGTGGATTATAGGCCAGTTGCCGGTCATTAAAACGGGCGAGTGCTAGGGAGGAACGTGGACTAATCGGGTTTTCTAACGGTCTGCTCGGAAGATAAGATGACGTCGGACCAGGGAGACTTAACGGCCTGTATAAATGACGAGGGCGCGAGGGTGTGGTGTTTCTCCATCCCAGATACTTCTTTGCTGCAGCATGTCGCAACCAGGATATTCCGCTTGGACTAAAAACGTTCTCTACAAGATATTTTAGTTCCGACGTCATTAGAGGCTGAACATAATCGGCACTCATGAGAAGACTCGCATCCATTATATCGTCGTCCGAGCCTGTCGCACTAGATACAGCATAGGGAATACTGGGTACCGCCGTTGCAGATCCTTCGCTTGTTAATGCAAAGCTAAATGTTTGAAGGCTCGCCTCTTGAAGCTGGCCGGTAAGTTGCGCTTTACATATAGCAAGCTGTTCTGGCGACAACGAGTCAGCCTGGGCTAGAAGGGGAATAACATTCGTCAGTGGTATTAGCCGGCGGATATATTCTATATCAATGGGTCTTAATTCTTTAAGTTTGGTTAGTCCTGGTCTCTCCTCGGATTGGACGCTTGCTTACCTTGTGAAATAAAATAGAAGACCACGTCAACTTGGAAACCTCCGTTACCTCCTAACATGTTTAACATATCCGAATCGCTTAGAGAGTCCGATGATATCTTGTCTAAATGAGATTCGATATATTTAACAGAAGACATGATAGTCTCCATAGCCTAGATGGTGTGTTAGTATTCCAAATAGTTAACATAATTAGTGCAACCTACGGATGAGCCATTCCGATATCCAGGTGTATCTACAAAACACACATTGCGCTCCAGAACGCTGTCGCCCAAACTTTTGCGCCTTTGGGAGAGAAGAGGCTCGTCCAACATCGACCACCATTCTGGATAAGGCTTGGTGCTAGCATATATCTCCGATATGCTAGATGTCGAGTTTGATGTATTTCTAGGTAGGCTAGTCTGCTTCTGGTAGGTGTTCGACTCGGGTTGAGATGGAATAGGATCAACATGGACGATATGCTCGCAGGTTTGGACGATTGCTTTGACCATGGAAGTCTTGCCGATACCTAAGGCGGAGTCCATTAGCTAGAGCTAAGGGACAGTCTTGTCAGGAATAATACCAGAGTCACCGGCAAACAACACTTTTAACCGCCCCAGATTCTTGCCTGTCTCGGTAAATGGACGCCGACTTGGCATCTTGATGCTGGGCATTACTAATTGAGGAACACTTCCGCTATCTAATATGTTCGATGGCCTTTGTTCGGAAAAATCCTCATCGGAACTAACTCCGTGGTCTGAGAGCGACCCAGCAAATGAATTTCTCCTGGAGGACGGGGTGCTGATTACGGAACCTGTGCAGGGTGTACCTAGCATAATGGGTGTTATCGGCCGCGAAAGTGATGAATAGTTCTGGGACCTCATCGATGCTGGACTATGTGTGAAGACAGAAGCTCTGGATGACTGGGAGTATGCTGGTACATAATCTCTTTCCCGTTGCATCGTAGCCTGCCTTGAAGATTCACTGTCCCTATCATTGCCGCGGGGAGGTGGCACACTTGTAGAGGTGGCAGCCTTCCGCGCATCTAGAAAACGACTGTGCGGGTTAGACTGCTCGAGGTAAGAATCAATGGACGACTCGTCGGCAAGGAAAAAAGACATTTGGCTACTACAACTGGAAGCCATAAGGGGAGCTGGATCATGATCGGCCGGACGCTGACGCCCATGCCAAGCGTGGTCGCCAGGAGAGGGTCGCATGGTTGAGATTTACATCTAGTTAGTTAGGTAGATAGAAAGAAGTTATAGGAATGCGTTCGCAGTTTAGACGACTACAAAGGTATTATATATAGGTATAACTATATATAAATACCTAATATGTATCGGTCAAAGAGGTTGGAGAAGGTTCAATATGGTTTGTTAAGGGGAATCATAGGCGGTGGTGAATGATGACATGAGTCGGTATGTAATGTATTATAACCTTAAGTTGGGGTCTTCTCTTTTTGGCTGTATGGAGGTTGGAGCCGCTCCATAAATGGTTGAATAAAGGACCACCCCGCATCAGATAAGCTCAGGAGGTTGCTTGAGGCCAGCTTGGAGAAATAGTGTAGGTACAATTTAAGTACAAATCAATACAGAGTATAACTTAGTTTTTTCTATACTCACCAAAGTGAGAATGACGTACCTATTTGTACACCTCCACTTTTGGCTTGTTGAGTGTGGATGGTGCGATCACTTGGGCCTTTGTGAAACTCGACATTGGATAGTGTGGTGTGCAGGGATGGTCAGTGGTTTGTGTATTCGTAGTGAACATACGTTTTATTACTTAAGGTTTGTTAGGTATTATCTTACCTTAGGTAAGGTACATAAGGTACGTACGTATTCGTAGGCTGCATTACTTGCATACATACATATGTACATATGTACATAAAGTAGGTACGTATACACATTCAATTTTATGTACGCCATTGGAATCCATCTTCCCCCCTGCTCATGTCGTCCATTCTCGTCCATTTGCCCCTCAACTTCAACCGCTAAACGGAAATCCGAGAATACCTGACCTACCTTAACGACCTTACCGACCTGCCGACCTACCATTTTAATCCACCCTTTAAATCCTGAGGGGATACGTAACGGAATGTTTACTGAAGATTAAGCGCCCTAACTCAGCCGTATTCACCATAAAGTCTTGCCAAGATTACATTTACTGTCGCTTAATAAAATTTCTCGGGCGCCTCTTCTCTCTCTCGTCATCGAAGCCCAGAACCCGCGCCTTGTATTACGGCAAGGCTATTTAACTCTCCTTTCCCCTACCTTCATCACGACTTCCAACGCCACTCCCCCCACAGACAACCCTCGCAAACAACCAACGACTTTGGACCTTTTAAGCGAGACTTGTACTGCTGGGGGTATATTATTTAACCCTACTTATACCTCTCTATCTCGTCCGACTCATACCAAGATGGACGCAAAGAGGCATCCGAGCTCTTTCCAGCAGCTTGAGAAGTTGGGAGAGGGTACATATGCTACGGTATGTTCTCCCGTGTATTCGAAATCGTGACAGGATATCTTTTGTTAACTGATATGGGCGTAATAGGTCTTCAAGGGACGGAACCGCCAGACGGGCGAACTTGTCGCTCTCAAGGAGATCCACCTCGACTCCGAAGAAGGCACTCCGTCAACTGCGATTCGAGAGATTTCGCTCATGAAAGAACTGAAACACGAAAATATTGTGGCGCTCTACGATGTAATTCATACCGAGAATAAGCTTATGCTTGTATTCGAATATCTAGACGGAGATCTTAAGAAGTACATGGATTCTCACGGCGATAGGGGCGCTTTGAAGCCTATGACTATTAAATCCTTCATGTTTCAGTTACTGAAGGGCATTGACTTTTGCCACAAGAATAGAGTTCTCCATCGGGATCTGAAGCCGCAAAACTTGCTTATCAACAAGAAGGGCCAGCTCAAGCTTGGAGATTTTGGACTAGCGCGAGCATTTGGTATTCCAGTCAACACTTTCTCAAACGAAGTCGTCACACTGTGGTACCGAGCTCCAGACGTCTTACTAGGTAGTCGAACCTACAACACCAGTATCGATATATGGTCGGCAGGCTGTATTATGGCCGAAATGTACACCGGTCGTCCACTATTTCCAGGTACAACAAATGAGGACCAAATCATACGTATCTTCCGCATAATGGGCACACCTACAGAAAGGACTTGGCCCGGTATCACACAGTTCCCCGAGTACAAGCCAAGCATCCAAATGTATGCCACGCAGGATCTTAGAGCTATATTGCCTCAGATTGACCAGCTCGGAATCGATCTCCTGCAACGGATGTTGGTTCTACGCCCGGAGCACCGCATTAGCGCACACGACGCATTGCAGCACCCTTGGTTTTCCGACTTAGCTATGCAACACCAAATGCAGCAACAGCAGGCAATGCAAGCCCAAGCCCAGGCCAGAGGTTTTGCAGCTCCAGCTGTACCCTCGCAAGGCGTTTACGATCAAGGATATTAGTATTATGATTGACACTAGGTTACAGTTTGGGCCAGCGATTTGTGTCTAGAAGTCTTAGATACACTTAGCACGGATATGGGTTATCAAATAGCGAGTTGGGTTTATGCTTCATCGTTTTGCGGTTATAGAATAGCCACGACGAAGGTGAGGAGCGGTTATTAGCCGGTCTAGCAGGTAGCGAATTTGGTGTCCTAATGCAGCACAGAAGGGTTACGGGTAGGTAGGAGTTTAGGCACTGACGGTCATAACGCTCATAGATAACGACTGCATTCATAGGGATTGGGAGAAAGATCCATTACTATTAATAAGCATCGAAAAGGATATACCCAATAATTCGAGCTTCCGTCTACTGTTGTACACTTCAAACTGATGCCGAATGTAACTATGTGAATTCTGGATACTGTACTTATGAGTCACGTTTATAGGATATCTGATTGGATCCTAGAGAGTGAGAAGACGGTGTTGACTGTATGGTGCGACGATAGGGGGTTTGAAGGTAATAATGGAAGTTACTTGGTCAAATCTAACTTAGATCTGGTCTACTTATTCTTAAGAGAATACGGTGGGTAGATATGAATAGGGAATCAAACAATCTCTATAGTAATTAGTCAATTTTCTAGATCGGGGACACTGGTACCTATTCCATGAATCCCATCCTGTCAAGATTTATTAGTAACCGTATCCCTATATCTATTCGGCCATTTAATTTATTCCATAATCTACTGCTCTACGATACGCTCAGCTTTGAGATCTATAATAACCGATTCCAAATGGTTTACTTCCTCTTGTTGATTAAACCGTCATCAACATTACTCTTGAAGCGTTCCTCAGTCGGCTCCTGTGCCCACGTTTCTGCTAGCTCGAAACCTGGCTCTTCTTCTGGGTATCCCATGCTCCTGCGAACCTTTGCCACTTCTTCGCGGACCCTCCTCGCAACCTCGATTCTTAGATTCACGGCTTCCTTGCCGTATTTAAGTTCGTCGGTTAGTTCGCCCATTGATAGCCTCTTTTTCTCCTTGCGGACGAGCTCCTGCCACCTCGCGCGAAGGTCCCCGAATTTCTTCTCCGTGTCTAGGAGTTCGCCGAAGGCTACCCGGAACTTGACGGGGAAGCGGGGAAGGAATCGCGGCCATTCCCTGTCTTCGGGCATGACGCGCTGGGGGCCGTCGATGAACATGGGAAGCACGTCGGGCATGGGCTCGCTCTCGAGAATCATGCGCGAAATTCCCCATTTGAAATAACGCATGAACATCTTCGGGTGCTGATGTACGCATGCCTCGGGGAAGACATGGATCCAACTATGCCGGTTTTGAGAGTATATAGACGGCGCGACGTATTGGTCTATGCCGGTAGTAGTGAATGTCATATCCCCCGAAGTAAACGGATCTAATATGTCATGAGACTCTTCTAAGGGAGCTGGTGCCGAAGTAGTAAATGGTGATGAAGATAGAAGTCGAATCGCCTGGGGAACTATAGGCTGAAAGAGTCCCCCATGAGATGAGTGTTTTGACCTATGAGTCGGTAATACTTGGCCAGCATAGAAAAAAGATCCAAGTAATCTAGCTATATATGTTAGCGGGAGAAAGGGATATATAGGTATATATGAGTGAAGAGATATGCGCTCACTTATTCTTATAGCATATATCATGGGCTCCCATGCCCCATCTATGATTAGATGGATTGAAGGCATAACTGAATGGTAAAACTCCCCATATGAGAGGATCATCAAGTCTATATGATGGATTAATTTATGAGATATGATTATGAATATTAGTTATATGATACTTACACACTGACATGATTTGAAACTGATATAAAATTAGTTTCTCATACTATCACGAGGCCCGTCATCACCCACCAGTAATGAGACCTCTCTGCCTCTTTTCGACATCTTTCCTCATGTCCAAGACTTCCAAGAATCGCTCTAAACCGGTTACTTCGACCGAATTTAAGCCATATAAGAAACTCCTAGAGAGGGCCGCAGTTAGGCCCATAATAACAGAAGAAGTCATGCGCCAGGGTAGACTTGGCTGCTGGAGAGGCAGCTTGTTAGGGTTGGAGTTAGACATGTCGACTTCGTGAGATGCCATTGAATTTTGCTGCTAGAACTCGACGGCATAGCAAATAATGATTTTTTCTTAAGGAAAGACTACATGATGTTTTGAAGTTTCCGCAGGCGGGTTTCGCATGATGAGTACATCAAAAGAAAACTTAGGTAACAGCGCAAGCGCAAAAAAAAAAACCCCCCCAAGCCCATACGATGTAGAATTTTTAGCAGGTACCTACATGTAATTAGGTACTTGAAAAAGTACCGCTCCGTAACTAACGCGGAATTTGATGACGGCTTCTCGCTACATCTGCAGGGACGGGATGATCTCATTGGGGAGATAATGATACGTTGATAGACCCCTGTAGTTGCAGTACATCAATACCTGGACAAGTACCTAAATCCCTACTTCCATTACGTTACGCCTTGAGCCTTGAAGATACAAGTATATGTAGATATCCACTTTATTTATATTCGCGATATCAAACATTAGGTACCTAAACTCTACCGAATAAATAATAAAGTATCCTTTGTAATTATTTTAAATACCATCTTCAACATGTCACACAGTAAGACGTCCATTTTATAATAGTTGCATTAATGGATACTAAGGGGATAGACGGTATCACTAACACATTTCTCCATAGGTAAGCGGAACACATCGCGCGCCGTCTTCACTTCCCACGAGCGGGACCTCGCTAAACGAGCATGGAGCTCAACGACGGCACGACTTTCACGTGAAAGCTTCCTTCCCTTCTCATCCTGCGGACTGTGCCTCGAGATAGCCCAAGACCCGGTGTCATGTGTGCACGGCGACATATTTTGCCGCGAGTGCGCCCTGAATAACATCCTGGCCCAGAAGAAGGAAATAAAGCGCCTCGAGAAAGTTCGCGACCAGGGGGAGCGTGATGCCTTGGAAGAAAGGGCGCGCCAGGAGGAAGAAGCCCGTGAACGTGCTATTCGTGAATTTGAGATGACACAAATCGGCCTAGACGCGAAGACGAAGAGTAATGGCACTAATAAAGACAATAATACTACTCGGAAAGGATCAACCGATAGTCATAATCAAAGTAGCACACCGGCGGCAGTGGAGTTACCTAATGGCAGTGGGAAGAAGCGTAAATTTGAAATAGACGCGGAAGAATTGGTGCGGATAGCGCAAGAAGACAGGGCAAAAGCACGGAAAGCAATCGACGAAGAGAAAGCAACGAAACCCGTGTTACCGTCGTTTTGGACGCCTTCGATTACACCATCTTCCAACACGAAAGATGCGCTTCACGAGGTAGCCAAGAAGACGAAGAGCACGCCAATATGCCCGGCGTCAAAAGACGACAGTCCACATACGTACTCGCTACACACACTTGTGACAGTGAACTTCACCGAAGAGGAAGATGGAGGAGGCGAGGGCCGGGATGGTCCAAGTAATAGGAAGAAGCGTATACGAATATGTCCATCGTGCAAGAAAGGACTAAGCAATACTTCGAAAGCACTGCTCGCAAAGCCCTGCGGTCATGTCTTGTGCCGTAACTGCGTCGATAAGTTTATGCAACCCTCGCGGCACCACCATGATCCACACGCATCGGCAGGTGATGCTGGGAGCTTACGGTGCTATGTCTGCGAGGCAGACCTTATAGATCAGAAGGGCAGTAATGATGGGGGGAGTGAAAAGAGCAAGAAAAAGGATAAAGAGAGGATACGACCGGGATTAGTCGAGCTGAGGAGCGAGGGTACAGGCTTTTCAGCCGGGGGCGTAAACCAGGTGCAGAAATCTGGCGTGGCATTTCAATGCTAGATTTGACTGCGATATTATAGGAAGAATATGGGACTCGATTATGACTAGAATATTATAATTAATTCGAGTATAGCAACGAGCCGGCGCCCACTGCCAACACCGGAAACCATACATTATGTATATCCGACCCATCCTGCCGTACGCTATGCTCAATACCATATCCAGTATCCCCATAGCCCATTCCCATTCCCAAACCCAAACCCAAACCCAGCCCAAAGTCGAATCATTGCAAACCTCGTACATGATGCGGCCTGCCATATACTCTTTTTGACCTCCCGACTTTTTGCAAACATGTACCTCGATTTACAATTCCCCAACTCCAGGGCCCCAAATGCCCAAACCAAACAAACCCGTCTTTTGGATTCCCCTCCGATGTCCGAGTACAGCAAGGAGATTAATCAGGAAAGGAAAGATGTGAATGACAGTCTCGACCCATTAGTACTTTTTCCCCCTCAGACAAAAGAAAGGAAAGGAAAGAGAAGAGAAAAATAGATCGATCGATGTACTCGCGGTAGACAGACACTTGTCCAACCAATTTCGTACATCCCATTCCTACAAATCCCCCCTTTTTCCCCAACAACCACCCATTCCACCCCACCCTAATATCAACTCTCATTATCATCATCACCATCCTCATCCTCATCTCATCAATAATACTTAACCCCCCTCTGCGACCTATCAATCATATTCGCCACCACCACGCTCCCCCCATCTCCATCCCCGTCCCCGTCCTCAGCCAGAAACGATCTCCGCCCCCCGCTACGGTTCCGCGGACTGCTCCAGCGGTGGCCGTATCCCGCGGCGCCGGGATACGGCGTCGGCGGAGGGGATGGAAGTCGCTCGTATCGGTATCGGTCGTAGTTGTTGTCGTGTCGGTCTCGCAGAGAGTGTAGCTGGTGCTGCGGCGGCGAGGAGGACGGAGGCATTGGGGGGCGGTGAGGTGGTAGTGATGCTAGGCGGAGAGGGGAGGGAGAGGAGCGCTGTGGCGGCGGAGAAGGTTGGCGTGGGGGAGGAGGTGGGAGGGCGAATGGGGCGGGGGGTTCGGATTCGGATTCGAATTCGAGAAGGGGTGGTGTTGGCGCTTCGGGTAGAGACGGTGGTGGTGATGGTGGCAATTCCAGTGATGAGTACGGTGGTGACGGCGGAGGCGAGGACATTCGTACTAGAGGTGGTGGAGTGCTAGAAGGGGCTTCACTCGGGGCCATTGGGGCCTCAATCATAGCCGCAGATCCTGGCCCAGTTTCAATCCCAGCTTCCGGCGCACTCCTAACCGAAGTCTCAACCACAGTTTCGGTCTGAGTCTCAGTCCTAGTGACAGGCCTAACCACAGTTCTACCCCTAACTCCAGCCTTAGCCATAGTCCTAGCCCTGCGCGCCCGGATCTCAGCCAAGACGCCCGCGACGACGAAGTATAGCTTAAAGAGCAGTTTATGCACGGCATCCTTCGCCAGCATCGTAGTCCCGTGGCCCAGGAAGCTTTTAATCAGTTCGCCGAAGATGCCAGCGTATAGAGCTCCGACGCCCTCGGTGCGCGCAATCTGCACGGCGGCGCCGAAGACACTGCTCTTACCAAAGTCCTTGACCGTCCGTAGCGCGTCCGATTTATAGTCGCTTTCGCCTCCGGGGATCCGCTCCGGCGGCGCGACGTTTTCTTTGAAAGAGACCTTACGAGGGACTTCTGTCTTGGGAGATATTGGCTCGTCGAAGGTGACGTGGTGTGTCTGCGCTTCCTGCGCGGGGGCCTCGACTGCTCCCGCAGAGGCCTGTGCTGCATCCCCGTTCGGGCTCTTGGGCGTGGCCGGGATGCCATTCTGTAGTCGGGTATTAGCGATTTGGAACGGGTATGTGATAGTGCTAGCGATGGTTTTGCTGATAGCCGCGAGGAGGAACGTCATGTGCGCGCCGGGGTTGTCCCATCTATCGGCCGAGACGGTCTTTTTCTTGAGGAACTCCTGAAGGAAGAAGGTGATACTCGGGTTCAGGGTGAGCACCAGGCTAGCCGAGTACCCGGACCAGAACCCCGCGAGACCCTGCTCCTTCCGGATAGCTTCGATGATCTCGCGGACGCTGGCATCCCTTCCCTCGCTGTCGACGAGCGGGACCGTCTGCTTGCGGGCGACCACATTAGCAATCGGAGTCGTGAAGAGCCTTGAGCAGGCACTAGCCGCCACACCAATAGCCAATTCCTCAAGGACGCCCAGCCCCGACGCGGACCTATCCCCTCTTCTCCTCCCGCGACCACGGCCCCCGGCCGCGAGCCCGACGCTCCGGAACCACTCATAGAAGAGAAAGAAGAGGAAAGAGTCCAAGACAGATTTGGCTGCGTCTTGAGCTAGGCCAGTATAGAGTGCTTTCGGCCCGCCACCGGACTTCCAGATCCGCGAAAAGGCTTCGGTGATTCCGGCGTACGTGGACTCCCGTGCCGGACCCGGAGCTGCTGTTGCTGCCCCGGGACCGGTCGGACCTGTGGGGGTGGTGTCGCCGGCGCTGCTGCTGCTGCTGCTGCTGTTGCTGTTGAGTCTTTCCTCGCGACGAAATTGTCGTTGAGCTTGGAGGCGGGTAATCGCTAGAGAGAGAGGGTAGAGAGTGCATGTTGAGATGAGCGTGCCGGCGGAGCCCGAGACGGCGTGGTGTAGGGCCGGGAGAAAGTTGTTTGCTGCTGCTGCTACTGCTGCCGGTGTGCCTGTGTAATTGGCGAAGCTTGACGATGGCATGGTTGGTTGGTTTCCTTCCTAGCGCTGTAAGTGGTAGAGGGGGGACAGGTGAAAAGGGACTTTGTATGGTTTATATCGAAGAAGCAAGCGTTCCGATCTAGGTTCCGGGAAGATCTAGAATACAGTATGAGGACAAAACAGGACACAAAAGAATATCGTCAGCAGCTTCCACACCAACCGAATCTCGGATGAGGCCTTTTTGGTCGTGTATGTACGTTACCTTGTAACCCTACGATGTCAATGGTGCCAAGAAGTTTGGTCGATAGCTGATCGTGTGTCTAGGAGGAGACAAGAACCCACTAGGTTGTATATAGATTATGTAGTCTATCATGCCGTCTACCGTGCAATTATTTGTTTATTTGCCATTGGGTCGACGATGTCGCACAAGGCCGACGGCATATTTGTTTGTGTGTGAGTACTATGTGTTAGGCGTGGGTATGGGTATGGGATGTGTATGAGAGAGGAGAACTTCACGATGTGACCAAGCCGCGAGCTGGCTCGAGCGAAGAGGGGGTAACTCGAACGACGACGTCATGGCCAGTTCATAGCCAGTTTATATCTACACAATATCTTATGTAAGACATCTAATATATGTTGTGTTTCGCAAAGTACGTAAAAGATGGCGAGTAAACACTATAGTACTCCAACTCCACCCCCCTTTATGTTTACATACATGGACATTCCTTGTCCTGCATTCTCACCATCCTTACCATTTCTTCCTAATTGTATATCCAAACTTCGAGGCTAGCTATCCATGGACCATTCGCTTCCAATCCTTTCGCTTGTGGATGTCTACCGCACACATTTTGCACGAGGGGCTTCCCTGAGTCCACAATATCCTATAGGATGCCAGGAAAAGGCACCCGAGAGATTGGCGAGCTTACACGTGTACAGGGTCCTCATGCTCCATCCCGCTGTGCAGCCCTTAGGTTAGGCCTATGCTTGTATACCGCCACTTCGGGCACCGACACGTGTGCCGTCACAGCTCTCAACCTAAACAGCTTCCATTCCCAGTTATGTTCTTTATTGGAATTTGCTGAGTGGTATCATATGAATTCTAAATACGGCCTATGGCTCCAAAAACAATTCAACGCCGGACCAAGGAGGCAGCAAATCATGGTATACTTGCTGACCTTGCCACCTTTACCTAACGCCCCCGAGTCGCTTTCCTGCTAAACAAATTCAACCCTTAAATCCACCTGCTTTGCTCTGGTATCCCCCGATAAACGCCTAATCGTGAAGATAATGATAATGACAATGACCAGTCCACCCAAATGCATTTGCCTTATTATCTGGGTACTTACCCAACACCGTTTACATGCCGTTATTGGGCGGCACAAGCCTATAGGAGGCACATGTAGTTATAATGGGGATGGTGCTGGCTGATTCAAACCAAGATATTGCTGCCAGAAGAAGAAGGGAATGCAAGCTCAGACGACTTTCTTAACTGAACCCTTGTTTAGACTCGTTTGATATCCTTGTTTGATATCCTCATACGATATGTCGCATGAGAGCAGCCGGTCCTAAGCTCGGCTTGCTACGGACGGCCGTCGTGAATTGGCTTGCATACCAAAACTTGAGGACCGTCGAATGCCCATCGCGCCCATCATTCCTAGGTCTGGCTCCCCTGGCGCGTCGTCTAGGTCCATATTCGTATCGGTATGGTTTTCGGGGAGCTTTTGAGCACCAAAACCAACCACCTTGAAAATGTTGGTACGCCCGCCATTGGTCGCCGTGTGGAGCTGTTCGCGAAGACGCGCTAGTTGATATGTCCTCCTGATAGGCTCAAAAACGGGCGGCGGCAGGACGGGCTGTGGATTCCATCGTGCTAGTGCACTCATGACAGCAGCAGTCTCCTCATCAGAGTCGACTGGCCCGGCATTAGCGTCGTCGTCGTCCTCTAACGGAGCGTTTGCATCCAATGCGGCCTCTGTTCCCAATTAGTCGTCATGATCAAATGCCTAACCAGTGTTCTGTGTCTTACTTTGTTGTTTCGCCTGGTTCTTCTTTTGATATGCAGCAAGTAGCATATCGTAAGGAAGTGATCGACCGGCGACAGCACGCTTGGCTCCCATGCTGTGACTTTTGCATGTTAAAGATCGCGCACATGGTTGCCCGTTGGGTAATATAACACCACATTGCTTCTCAACATCAACGGGGCCTAGATTGGTTAGACACAACTAATATGATTCAACGGTAAGGATGCGTAGTGGTTAGATACCTTTAGGCTTAGGAACCTTTGGCTTCGGCTCCTCTTTCTTTTTCTTATTCTTTGGTCCCTTATCGGCATCACCGTCGGCCTTTCGTTTCTTGCCCTTCGGCTCACCGTCTGGCTTCTTACCACTTACCTTCTTAGTTGCTTTCCCACTAGTTCCCTTTTTCTCAGGCGAACCGTCATCATCATCATCGCTGTCATCATTCATCTTAGCATCTCCATCCTCGTCGGCTTTGCGAGCTTCCTCTTCCCGCGCTTGTTCCTTTGCTCGTTCCCTCGCTTCCCTAGCCTCTTTTTTGCGCTGGGCTTTCTCTTTCTTAATTCGTAGGCATTGCGCAATATGCTCCTTCGCTGCAGTTTTGATAATGCCCTTTTTGCAGTGTTTACATTGTTGAAGATTAAGATTATCTTCGAGAGGCCGTCCGGTCGCAAAGGTCTCGCGGGAGTTTTCGTCTAACTGATTAACCACGGGTCCGGGAGACGGGACGCCAACGATGACGGAAGGGTTCTCGGAGGGTTTAGATTTCTTGTCATCTACATAATAGAATAATACTTAGAAGCCGTTGGCGCTACAAAGAGAGTAAAGGGTTCCGGCGCAACGTACCATCGGCAACACTACCATCTCTCCAATTGCCGGGTTTTAATTGCTTCGGTACAGGTTTCTTAAGTTTGATTATACCGTTTGGCCTATCTCGTATAACTTTCTTTGAGGCGACGTTAATTGTACCTTCGTCATCGGGACCTAGAACGTGGGGCGAATATTCGTGTCAACACGGCGCGCTGCGCAGTTAAATCTGCGAATTACAGATACATACCTTTGCGCCCCTCTCCGCCGCTCGCCATTTTGATAGGTATTTGAATTTTTGTCAGTTACATTTATTTGTGTATAGGTTATAGGATCGTCCTATTAGCATAGATTGAATAAGAGGTGATGGAAACGTCGTAGGGAGCGACTTATGGATAGTTTGAAGATTGATAGCAGTTGTTGTATGATTGAAGAGGCGTTAAAGCTAGCGCTCCCGGACCACTTGACGACGCTCCGATAAGATCTTATCGCTTCGTTAGCTTACCCGTAGAATTACCGCAAATGATACACGGACCCATATGCTACTAAACGGTTAGGTACATTAGGTACATATGTACTTGTACATGGTTCAATTTTACCTCTGCTCAGGCTTTAGACATCAAAAGGCTGGAAATAATTCAAGTAAACCATTATTTGCAAATGAATATAGCTTTAGGGGTATTTTTGAAAACCTAATCTTACCGACCTGTATAATGCCATTCGCCTATATGCCCTCCCTAAATACACCTAGTAGATCATCAAGTCAAAGTACTTCCCAAAGCTTAGCCACGCCCATGGACGCCTTTCCAGATATACCACTTATATATAATCAGCATCTAAATCATTGAATATATCCGCCTTTGGTCCTCCTCCTCTTCTAACTTTACTTTATGCCCATCCACCTCTTTATCTAATTTGGATCGGTACTGTTCCATGGTTTCTGACAAGGCCTTTGCGTGTAACATTCCCATCTGCCTCCAAACCACTTGCATCGCGTTATAAGCCCAGTCCCAGAACTCGGGCGGGACGTTCGGAGCGCAGCCAGCCACTTTTAAGTGCCAAAGAAGGCTAGGTACCCCTACCGCTCCGGAATTGCCATATCCATCCGCTTCAAACTCTCGAGTCACTTCGGGATCAAGCGTTGGATGGTGCCAATGTGAAGGTACACTTATAAGAATATCCTCCGCCAGTCGTTCAATAGTGGCGTAACATTTTACTCTCTGAGGGGTCGGTAAGGTTCGACTGCTCGAAATAGGATAGGTGCTCATAAATTTGACAAGCTTTTGGTTAGTGAGAATATGAGCCCAACGATAATGATTCCATATCCTAGCAGCCCATATTACATTATACTTGTGCCACTTTCCGCGAAAGACCGCTTCTGGTGGATACTCTCCCCTATTTTCCTTAAAGGGAAAGGCCTCTAGTAGCTGCCTTTCCAAGCTATCAAACGTATTATCCAGTTGAATAAATTGTCGTATAATATCATCTACAGCTGGACGCCCGTCGGTGTATACCGTGTGCTCGAATGTAGCTGACAGTTGGAGAAGTCGAACCATAGCGATAGCCAAATCAACAGAACAACTTTCTGGTACTCCTTGCATCAACTGCTTACAGAATTTTAGAGTCTCGAAGAAACCAGATGGAAGAGGCGTGTCTGTCGCTTGATATGGAATGAACTAGGTTAGGATAGTTAGTAGGTAGGTCAGATAAGATGCGATGAATACAATACCATTGAAAATAACAATTGTAATATAGCATGTACACCTTTATTAGGGGCCTGCGGAAGAGGCAATACAGATCGTAATACAGCCACTGCCCCATTAACGTGCGTGCTAGCTAATCCCACTGCCACTCTAGATCCTTTACCTTGGACGACCTATATATAGTAAGTGTTGCATACTTAAATATAATTGTTTCCAGGAATCAATTTACCTCAAATAATGCGAGCGTTACGACGCTCCGAATGCGAGCTACAAGGCTTCCAGGATCATTACTAGCAATTAGCTGTCCGGTTTGCTTCAGAGATGCGACGTATTTAGAACGCGCAACTAGGTTCATATTCTTGTTCCCTAGCAGGTTAGACAGTCCTGCGAGACCTACGGCTATCATGACGCCCTGGGCGGCATTTGCACTAGTAAAATACGTCGCTACCTCCTCGCTTGTCCTTGGGGAGTCGGGATGGTGCATAAGATAGCGATTGATATAAAACTGCAGGCCCTGCTGCTCCATATTTAACTCTACCTTCTTAGGTATCTTTGCGGGAACAAGTTGGGGTGGCGGAATTGAACTACTCTCTGGCGGACTATCTGAAGCACTGCTCGACGACTCGTCTGCCCATGCTGAGGCCGAGGCTGAATTCGAAACGAAATTTCCGCTTTGCTCAGCAGGAGACCCCGAAGAGCCCCATTGGGCATGTGCTTTTTGTATAACCTTGCTACTCTCATCTCGAAACATAAGAGATAACTGGTCTCGATAACCCGGGCATTTCTTGCCCACGCGAATGCATTGTGAGCATTCTGGCCGTTTCTTATCGCACTACAATTTCTTAGTTAATTATGGTAATTATGGGCTAATTCATCTATTACGGTCCCGACCGATTGGATCGATTGAGGTGGATGCAGACGACACAGATGAACCTTGCGGCATCTCGCATACGATGCCGCCTAGTACATCTTGCCTCAGCTGCAGGGCAAGACAGGACAGGGAAGGCGGATGCATGTGTATAATGTGTTTGATGAGGTTGTGAGCGCATACGCACCTTTATACGTCGGGTTCGACAGTTTTGACACCCCTGAGAAGCCTTTCCACAATAAACCATTGTGCGAAAACTCCAGGATAGGCAAGCTGAACGAACAAATCAGAGTAGTTTATTATTGTCTTAGCTGCGCGCGTTGAGTCGTTTGTCTCCGTAGGTTGGCGGCCGCCGTTGGTCAATATTGCGGCTGGCAGGTATCGAAAAGGGAAAGCAGTTCGTCAAAGTCGTGGGGAACAAGAAGGATCATGATTATGCGAGGACTAGCTGCATTAATCTTGCTTTTTTTTCTTTCCTTCTATCCCGTCTGCCACTTGTATAAAAGGATTGCTCGATGCCACTCCGGATCTTGTTTACTTCGTTCCTGAAGCCCCCGAGGCGGATTTTCACCGAGTCCGGACGGAGACTCTTCACGTGCCTTCGAGATCGAAATTCGGCGGCAAGCGCACGGCGTTTTTGCAACAACGTTTAATATAACTTTGAAGACCAACCACCAATAACGGGATATGGATAATATTTTCCAGCTGAATGGCGATTTATTTTATAAGTTAAGTTGCTCGGTACTATTTCAAAGAGAATACTTAATAAGAAGCAGAGGGTGCTGAAGTTCAGAAGGGGAAGCCAGGAGCTAGGTAGCCGTGATGGGGGCTCACGGTATTCGGCAATAGTTATACGGTATATCCGACCTTGTATCGTCTGAAAGGTGAGAAGTGTTGGTCAATCACAATCCTTCAAAGTGACCAGTAAACGACCAGTCTGCCAGTCTGATACCGAATACGCCATGTATCTATTAGTAATGCATGTCTGTATGGGTGGGCTTTTCCCTTTTTATTATTATCCCCTTTCCTTCTTTACGCTTCTGCTTTCTTATTAGAATGCATACCTAGACCTACATAGGTAGGTATGTTAGGTACAGGTACGGGTACGTATGTAGGTAGGTATTTCACCTACGGAGACTTGGGGGTTGTTTGAAACTCATCCAATGTCGAAAGAGACGAGAAAAAAAAATAATGCTACCGAATAGGAACTTCCCCGCTTTCCTTTAGACCCAATCGTCAGCTTTGGTGTGGGGGTGAAAGGTACGTAGATTAACATGGGTTTTGGGTAACATGGATTAACATGCATGTAGTTTAGCGATAATACATGTTTTGGATCGGCCGTGGATCAGAGGTTAAACATCCTAGCAAGTCGGACAGCCCTGAACGGAATTACCAGGCAAGGACAAACAAGACTGCCCCAGTAGCCTAAGAAAAGCCAGGGTTGAAGCTTCTCGGGTTCTATGTATATTCCACACTATGCATATATTTGGTAGGCGAGATCCGCTGGTATTGCTAGGCAAGTTGAGTCGTAACGGATAATCAACTTAAATAGGTAGGTACATCCATACATCGAGATGTACCAAATGTTTACCCGCGCTAATTTATAAACCTTATTGATATAGGAACCTTAATACCTTAATAGCATTAATAGCATTTGAGTATTTGGGTACTTAGGTACATTAGGTACTGCGTGCATTAGGGTGCTTTTAATTAATTCATGTAAGTCACCAGCTACGAGTATTTGAAGCTTCTTTTTTTTTCCTCCTTACATAAATTACCCCAACTAGGCTTTTATTAAGGCTACTATCTCAACGTCCTTCCTCTTACATATCAACACTGTTACTCACAACGCAGCATACTTTCGCCCAGGGCTGAAGACATTGTCCAGGGCTTGTAACCGGGTGCTACGTTGCGAGAATCCGGGTGCCATTTCCTGACGTGACGTAACCCCCGAGGGGTTAAGGGACTTCATTGTGAGGTATTAGAGAAGTCAAGCGAGTCAAACAAACATCTGGCCAAGTTGTTGGGTTTCTTCGGGCTTTTCTCGCATTGCTGCCAATTCATCATCCCACGAAAATTCCCAAATGCTTAACATTTTCATAAAGCTTCCTCTCAGATCTCTAGAATTCATCGCTTCTAGATCGGCGAAGAAAAATGAATACCAATCCTTAAGTCCAATCCTCAAGTACGAAGAGCGAAGGTATCCAAGCTTTTAATTGGCCCCTGTATCATCTAGGATGTTAGCACAGCGCTGAGAGGGGTCTTGAAGACTCATGTTTGTCACACCCTAGATCTAGCCCAGGAAGCCCAGGAAGCCCAGGGTAAGAAGGGGATTTTTTCAAACCAAAAACTCCGAACCCGGGATCTTCCTGTTGACAGCTCATCCCTGACAAGAGATGGCATTGCTATCACTTTTATTACTATAGTAATGGCTGCCTGACTTATGTACATGCATGCATCGCTCTTCCGTTACAATGCAGGTAACACTTCTGCATCTGTCAAATTCTCACGGCCATATGGGCAACGATCATGATTGTCGACAAGCCATTCACTAATCAGTCACATTACCATTAGGCCCAGCTTGACAGATATCATCCAATCGTCATGTGTCAAAATAAGGCGAACAAGCTAGTTTCGGGAGATCGAGTGGTCTGTGATGACAATTTCTCCTTGCTCGTCTGTGTCGTATATGTCGTACTTCGGAAAATAAACGCGGGTGACAGCGTCTCGTCTAGTTTCAAACAAAGGCACATTATGTCTTTGTCACACGCGTAACGAATAAGATGTCTCCAGAAAACCTCAATTGATCATTGGCTGACTTTGCCTCAGACTACAGGATGTGTTGGTACGGCAAATATGACAGGCATGATACTGCCCTTGTTTCTTGTATTTCAAGTCTTCGTGTTGATGACGACAGTTTAACAGCTAGCTGCCATTAAATCGGTATCAGAAATATCCACATATTCAGCTAGTTTGGTGAATTTTTGCGCCTCCTTTCCCATGATGAGCGCCTGGGCAGTAACCCTTTTATTTAATCAACTACTGGGTTTATATTGAATTGCAATCATATGCAGGGTTGGGTAGAGAAGAGGCAAAAGAAAAGAGAAGTCGATTGGAAAATAAGCCACTATAACTCGTCTATTATATCTATATCCCTTGTAACTCGGTATCTGAGCTCTCATGACTCGACGTTTCCCCAATGTTGACTGGTTGTTTAGGGATTCTAAAGCCCATGGACGGGAGATACGATCCGGGGAAGAAGAAGCAGAAGCTACATACAACTAGGAACACAGGCAATGTGTCCAAGATGTACATGCTATATGGTGTTAGCCTATAAAGAGATACTATAGGTGTCTAGGTAGGCTTCGGCTACTCACAAATACTCATGCTGAGATACGGGGCTGTTTGAGCCTTCGGCAAATTCGACTACGCGGAATACAGACCGGATCTTGGAAGCAATGTTAGAAGGCTTACACTAACAAGTATTTCTTAGGTTCTTACTAGAATCAAAATGCAAGATACGTTGACTGCATATAGGAGGTATCTCCAGTTCCTGTTTATCTTTCGTGATAGCCCTATGACTAAGACCGACTTTCCTCCGTCAGTTGCCTCAAGCCTCGACAAAAGACTAGCCTCGAATCGTTGCGAAGTAAAATGAAAGCGAGCGGCAACTACCGTGAAAAGCCCAAATGCTGCGATTTGTATGGCGAGGCCCACAAGTGCGATATTCTTTCCCATATTTATTGTGTCCTCAGCGTCCTCATCTGTCACTTCAGTACTTGAGACGGAAACGGCGCCAACGAGCTGAACAAGGAGAGAGATCACGTCGAAGGTGACAAAAATAGGCGTGATCCACCGAGCTGCAACATTTAGTAAGGATGGTTGGAGGGGAGCTTGAATAAGTACATACGCGGAATCCAGAGGAGTCTCGTCGTCCTTTCTTGGGCGGGGACAACATGAAAGACGATACGACCAAAGACGACATATATGACACCAGCCATGAGAACAGGGGCGAGAATGATTACGCAAAATTGTATCGCGTATAAGTTCAGGTTAGTAGGACTGCCAGCAGACGCAATTCGGACTGCATATCCAACTACTTCCACTATTGTTGACGCATTAGAATATTTACAGCGCTATATTAAAGGCCACTAAAGAGCTTACTGAGTATCGCTAGCAGCTGTACCGTCCACACCCAAGCTCTTTTCCGAATAGTTAAAACAGAAGACCAAATAAGAGTTATCCCGAATAGGGCGAGGCATACTCCAGCTACGGCCTCCGATGGGTCGTAGGGATAAAAGGAAATGTCATCTAATGATACACCAGACGACATATTAGCGGCCTCAATCCAAGACAATTCGGATTTAAATAAGAGATATATAGTTAAGTAGTCGGGTTTCAATAATTTTCAGGTATGTACAGAGGTAGGAAAAAATGAACGTTCAAATTCCAACATAATCAAGTTCTGGGGAGATGCCTCATTTTTTTTATAATACCTAATAGGACTTACACCATTAGGAAGGGCTCCGCCACCACCATGTGTGACGCCACAAGAAGCGGAATATCGCGAATCCTACCAGGCTTCAATATAACGACTTGAGATCGCCCACCGGCTCGCTTTCGGAAGAGTACCGGTTGCAGATCTTACAATAGTATATGCCGTCAGCAAATGTACCCCGTCCTGACTTTAATTTTACTGGTTTCTTGCTTACGTGCAGTGACGTTGGGCATTTTTGCTCATTGGGGCTGGGCTGCGAGCTGAGGCTCTATGGATTCGCCAATGCTGATAACCTTCCCAAGACGGTTATAATTCCCCTTTGCACCGCCGCTCTCGTTGTTGGACGCAAATAATAGAAATATTTATTCTTGAGGATCTTACGGACCTCCTAGTAATCAAAAGATTTAAGTGTGCTGCCTCGTTTCATACTCGATGATTTATAAGATTTCTATGCCCGCTGAACTTCGCGCAGCAGAATACTACCGTTTTGCCGGTCTTATTCCTACGTTTGAAATAGATATAACGGAAGAGGTTCGCAAAGGAGTGGTTGTTAATGCAGTGGAAACTTCTCATAGATTCCAGCTATTGACCCAGCTCCGTAGCATTTCTTTGTCCAAAGCGGATATACTACCTAGTTTGTGAGTACCTTGTAGCCTGATCTGTTGCATAAGTTACAGATTCCGTCCCATCGCCCAGTTCCTCGAGAAAGTCCAGCATAGTTAGCGCAGGCATTCTAGCAATCTCTTCGG